AGACACAGCTCATGGCTAGTATGCCTGAGAGCCTGAGTTACCACCTCAGCACTACCAAAACAAAGTGAATTTTATGACATGTGAATAGTATCTCAAAATGAATAGAAATTAGTGGATATGCAAGGAAGCTAGAAGCTAGAACCCATACTCAGGGAGAAAAAAAAAAAAAAAACAAAACACTCAAAACTAGGCGATGGTGGTGGCACACACCTTTGATCCCAGCACTCAGGAGGCAGAGGTTGGTGGATCAGTCTCCAAGTTTGAAGCTAGCCTGGTCTACAGAGTGAGTTCCAAGACAAACAGGGCTACATTGTCCATCTGCCCCCCACCCCCCGTCTCAAGGGGGAAAACATCAATAGGATTGATTTCTCCCAAAAGGAGGTAGATTCCCTCCTAAGTAGATTGACCTCATCCCACCCCACTCAAAAGAAGGCTGGAAGAAGGCCCTGTGGTTAAGAGTACTGACTGTTCTTCAGGAGGACCTGAGTTCAATTCCAGAACCCACATGGCAGCTCACAACCATTCATGATTCCAGACTGAGGGAATCCAGTGCTCTCTAGTAGCCTCTGAGGGCACTGTGTGCATGAGGTACAGACACATGCATGCAAAATGCCCAAACACATTAAAAAAATTAAAGGAATACTGGAATTAGAAAACAAAGACATTAAAATCACTGTAAAAATATATTCTTGATTTTCAAAATAGTAAAGGAGAGGATATACAAGAGCACTGGAAGATAATTAATTCAAGGCTAGCATGGACTACCTGCCTCAGAGGGAGAAAGTCATGCTAAGACCACATTCTGTGTGGTCTCCTGTAGGTGAGTCTACAGAGACAGGAAGTGGAAGAGTGGTGGCTTGGGGCTGGGGAGGGGCGGGGTGGAGAGTGAGGAATGCCAGGTAAGGATGTGAGGCTTCCCTTAGGGAGAGATTTCCTACGATTATACTGTGATCATGGTTGCACAGCCCTCAACTGTGCACTTCAAATGAGTGTAGAGTGTATTGTAGTTATGTGGATTTTATCTCAGTAAATCCATTCACAGACGGGAAAGAGAGAGAAAACAGCTGGAAATGTTCCCAGAAGCCTCTTGGAAACTAAACAGCCTCTTGTTACCCACCGAGTGGCTGGATCAATTCACGCCTTCCAGATGTCTTCCTCATTTCCTGCGTGCAAACTATACACTGTAATTTAGTATTAGCAGAATGTTAATAAAGATTACACTGCCTTTGTTGCTAAATTCCACACAGTGTTTACCATTTTCCTCCAGCATACACAGTTCCTCTGTTTTCTAACTGCAGCTGGGCTGCCAGGACCTCGCAGGGAGCAGTAACTGTCTGCAGTGTCCCTCTGCCCTCATTAAAGTGCAGACATACTCAACACTTACAGAAAACTGATGGCTGACTTTCCTCAGAGAAAGGGTCTTTATCGTTGTGGTTGTTTGTTTGTTTTGTCTTTCTGGTTGGGGAAGTGAGGTTGAGACAGAGTCTCACTGTGTGGCACTGGCTGGGCTGGAACTGGAATTCACCTTGTAGACCATGCTGGCTTTGAACTCACAGAGATTGGCCTGCCTGTGCTTCTAGAGTGCTGGGATTAAAGACATGAGCCACCATGCACAGCTGATTTTCGAATTTTTTTTAGTAGGGATATGAGAGGGCAGGTAGGCACAGGGAGAGTTGACATACAGTTAGTTCCTCTGTGTTGCCCTGGCTGTCCTGGAATTTGCTCCCTAGACCAGGCTGGCCTTGACCTCACAGAGATCCACCCGCCTCTGCTTCCCAAGCGCTGTGATTAAAGATGTAAGGCACCGCCGCCCGACTGAATTTTGAAATTTTAAGCATGCATCTTATATCTACATTTATTAGTGTCATATGTAAAATTTTAAACACAACCAAAGTATTCACTTACTTACATAAAAGACTATGACTTCACATTCACTCTCTGGGGGCTAGACATGGTGGCACATGTCTTAAATCTCAGCACTCAGGAGGCAGAGACAGGCAAATCTCTGAGTACAGGATCAGCCTGGTCTACATAGTGAATTCCAGGACAGCCGGGGCTACACAATAAGATCCTATCTCAAAAAATAAAAGTTAAAACATAAAAATAAACATTCACTCTCCGCCCTCACAACCTGCTAGGAGAAGGGAAAAACAGTCTGGCAGTTCCATAAGCAGTTCCTCGGGGTAGCCAGAGGTCCAGCAGTCCCGTTCCTAGAACTTGTCCAGGAGAATGGAAAACATGATACTATACTGAAATGCACATGACTCGATAATATTTACAGAGTTTCTTATTTTTTATTTTTCCAAGACAAGGATTCTCTGTGTAGCTCTGCCTGACCCGGAACAAACTCTGTATACCAGGCTAGCCTCAAACTCAGAGATCCACCTGCCTCTGCCCCCGAGTGCTGAGATTAAAGGAGTGCACCGCCAGCGCCTGGCTACTGTTTATATGAGACAGGGTCTCACTGTGCAGCTCTGCTGTCCTTGGACTCATTACGAACATGTCTCCCAAATGCTGGGGTTATAGGTATGTACTACAACTTCAGCCCAGGGTTCAGCCCAGAGTTTAGGGTTTGTTGTTGTTGTTTAACATATTAAAAGGTTATCTTATGTATATGAGTGTTTTGCTTGCATTTTCTGTATCTGTGCACCACATCCACGCCTGGTGCCTGAGGTGACTGGAAGAAGGCATGGATTTCCTGGAATGAGAGCAGCGGTGCTCAACCTTCCTAATGCTGCCACCATTACATACAGTTCCTGGGCTGTGGTGACCCCCAAGCATAACATGATTTCTGTTGCTACTTCATAACTGTAATTTTTCCACTGTTATGAATGTAATGTAAATATCTGTATTTTTCCAAGGGTCTTAGGTGGCTCCGAGGAAGGGTAGTTCAGCCCCAAAGGGATTGTAACCCGTAGGTTTACAATCCACTGAATTAGAGTTACAGGTGGTCACGAGCCACCATGTGGATGCTGGAAATCAAAGCTAGGTCCCCTTGTAAGAGCAGCCAGTGCTCGTACCAGCTGAGCCATCTCTCTGGTCTTGTTGTGTTCTGAGCAATCACTTTTGGAAACTGAAGGTCCCAACAGCATTGCGATGGCTCTGAGGAGGGAGCCCTGAGCTCCATCACATGGGGTAAGGCACACAGCGTAACAACAGAGGGCACGTGACAGGGAGATCACCAGGGAGGGCACAGCCTCTTCTTTCCTAACTACCTCTCTAAGAACTAGCCAGGGTTTCCAGAACTCCATCAGTGCCTTCTGAGAGCAATACCTCAGTTTACCCAACTCTGCCTTTCATTACGTTCAAGCTCTCTCTCTCCCTGTCTCTCTCTCTCATTTGTGTGTGTGTGTGTGTATGTGTGTGTGTGTGTATGTGTGTATGCACACGTGTGCATATTCCCTCCCTAAAATAGGGTCCCATGTACCCAGGCTGGCCTCTGACTCACTCCGTAGCTGAAGATGACTTTGAACTTCTAATCCTCCTGCATCAGCTTCCCAAACACTAGGTTATAAGCATGTGCCACCACTCAGACTTAGGCACAATCTCTTAAGGATTCCATACCACCTCCCAAATATTGCCACACTAAAGACAAAGCTTCCACCACATGAAACCCCGGGAGACCCTCTCAAACCACAGGCTAACCAAAGCACACACGGATACGTGACCCTGAAAATGTCCAAAGCAGCACTAGTCATAGAAGCTGACAAGCGGAGAAGGAAAAAACGTGGCCCACTCATACAATCAAGTATTATTCGGTAATAAAAAACATCCATGATATGATACAGAATAACATTAAAACATAGCAAATGAAAAAAGCCAGACACAAAGATCATACAGTACACCTTGATTTATAGGCAATGTCTAGAACAGGTAAATCCATAGAGGCAGAAGATAGGCAGGTGGCTCCCTCTCCAAGCCGAGAGGACTGGGAAGTGATGATGCAGGTATTGGGAAGTGACACACTAAGCAATTCTGGGAGTTTCTCTGAGGCAATGAAATGCTCTAATATTAATTATGATGATGCTTGTACAAATCTATGAGTTTACAAGTGATTGTTCTTTGTATTTTTAAATGTACAAACTGTATGCATATGTCAGTAAAGCTGTTAAATTTTTTTTTTTACTATATATCTAAATGTTTACCAACTAACAAGCAAAAATGTGGTGTGTCATGCAACAGAATTTAGCAGTAAAAAGGTACAAAAACAAGCAGTAGTATATGGTGGTTACCAAAGTCTCGACTTCAACTGACTATAGTTTCCTTCCTTCCTTTCTTTCTTTTTTACAGAAGGGTCTAAATGTTGCCATTCATAAATTAACCAAACCTCTGTCTATTGATGAAACATAACATGTTATCTTTTTTAAATAAATAAATAATTAATAAATAAATAAAGGCATACTTTCTTTGTTTTGGTTTGGTTTTTTGGCAGTAGGGAAGGGGAAGGAGATGATGATAGCCAGGGTCTCACTGTGAAGCCCTGGCTGGCCTGGAACTCGCTATAGCAATCAGGCTGGCTTTGAATTTACAATGACCCTCCTACCCCTATCTCCTGAGCATGGGATTCCAGGGCCAGCTAGCCAGACCCACTGTTTTCTTTTTTCTTTCTTTTTTAAGATTCATTTTTTTTAATTATGTGTATTGTGTGTGTACCTGTATATATGGTATGTGCAGGTACAGGTTCCTGAGAAGCCCAGAAGCATTAGATCCCTCAGGAATAGAGTGAGGTAGTTGAGAACCACCTGATGTAGGTGCTGGGAACTAAACTTAGGTCTTCTGTAAAAGCATTATGTGGTATGTGTCCTTACCCACTGAGCCATCTCTCTAGCCCCTATTCATTCAAACTCTGGAAGTACTGGTTAAGAGGCAACGTTACAGATACACATCAGTGGTATGGTGCTTGCCAGCAGAAGGCCTGCGTTCAAAGTCCAGAGCCTCCAAAAACAAAAGGTCTTCAAGTATGAACACTGACTAGCAACATCAGCGACTTGAATACTAACCTTAAACACATCTTCAACACATCGGCTAAGTTCCTCTTCAGTCACCAAAATAGTTCCTGGCACCATGTCACTCTCTGGAATCTCTTTGAAAATAAATAAAATTAACTCCATTCATTACTTTTCTGAATAGAAGACACTAATAAAGCAAAGTTTTATTAGTAAGATAGTCCAGGTAAAACCAGAAAATGAGTATCACCACTGAATGATAGGCTATTTACATATGATAGTCATGGACATCTGATGTCCCTGATGTCAGCTCTTGTACAGGAAAAACGAGTTCTAAAACAGAGGACTTTTGTCTTATTAACAGAGTACTAAAATAGCCCACTCATGGAGGCATATGCCTGTAACCTTAGCGCTGCAAAGCCGAGGAGGGAGACAGCACGTTTGGGGCTGAGACAGCACAGCTGAGAGCAGAGCCACTCTGTGCTCCATAGCAAGACCCTGTCGCCAAAATCCAAAGTTAGGGCTGGAGATAAGGCTCAGTGGAAAAGAGCCCTTGCTACTCTCACGGAGGGCCAAGACTGCTCACAGCCATTCATAACTCCAGTTCCTGGGATCCAATGCCCTCTTCTGGCCTCCTTAGGCACTGCATGCACGTGGTACACAGACATACATGTAGGCAAAATGCTTATAGACTTTAGAAAATAAAAGTAATTGCTTTTATTAAAAAATGAAAACCCAAACTTAAATAAATAAAAACAAAGAGCTCTTCAGATATATATTTTTTGTTATATATTGTTCTTTATGTAAGTTAAAAATTAGGCATGTAGTGATGGTGCACACCTTTATCTCAGAGTTTGGGATGCAGAGACCTGTGTATCTATGAGTTCTACCAGTATATCTAGCTTGGTCTACAGAGTGAATTCTAGAACAGCCAGGGCTATATAGAGAAACCTTGTCTTGAAACACAAATGAAAAAAAAATTGGGATAAATGAATCAAAGACATTTTCTTTTCTCTCTTTTTTTCTTTTGTTATCCTCTTAAAAGACAGACTCTCATGTAGCCCAGGTTGGCCTTGAACCCCTTATGTAGCCAAGGATGACCTTAAACTTCTACCTCCACCTTCCACGTGCTAGAACTGCAGGTCTGGGCCACCATGCTCAGCTCTGTAGTACTGGGCACTGAATCCAGAGCCTCGTGCTAGCTAAACAAGTATATCTACTCAGCTGGACTCCTAGTCCAAAATCTGTGGAGACAGAATTGCTTCTTTGTTGGGACAGTCTTGCTCAGTAGCCCAGGCTGACCTCAAATTCATGATCCTCCTACCTCAGCCTCTCTGTGTTAGGATATAGGAATATGCTACCATGCTAAAAGTTTTGTTGTTCTTTTGTTTAAGTTTTATCTTTTTATTTTTAATTATGTGTATGTACATCTGTACATGTGAGAACAGATACCCACAGGGGCCAAAAGAGGACATGGATCCCTTGCAGCTACAACTGTGAGCAGCATGGGAGGTGGGAACTAAGCTCAGGTCCTCTGCAATGGCAGTAAGTATTCTTTTTTTTTTTTTCTTTTTTTTTTTTTTTGGTTTTTCGAGACAGGGTTTCCTCTTTACAGACCAGGCTGGCCTGGAACTCACTCTGTAGACCAGGCTGGCCTCGAACTCAGAGATCCACCTGCCTCTGCCTCCCAAGTGCTGGGATTAAAGGTGTGTGCCACCACTGCCTGGCGGCAGTAAGTATTCTTAACTGCTGGTCCATCTCTTCAGTCTTCCCCTGAACTTTTTGATAGTGGTGGTGGGCCTCATAGATACCCAAGAGGGCAAGAGAGTGCCATAACGCAATGCACACACGGAAGTCAGAGGACCATGTAAAACAAACAAACAAAACCATATCTATCTTAAAGACTAATAAAACATGGTCATTTGGGATTGCCACATGGGACTAAGAATGAGAAAAAAACATGGAAAGCAAATATTGATAAGAAAGCTTCCTCTTCAGACTTTTCCAATGGAAAAGGTACACCTAGGTGGGACTGGTCACAGTCCCACCAGCCTGGTGGGCAGAGGCTAAGGCAGACTGCTCAGAAATCTACTTGCAGCCTGCCTGGTGACAAAGTGAGTTTAAGGCCAGCCTGAGTAACTTAAGACATCTGGCTAAACTAAAAACAAAAAACACACTTGGGAGGCAGAGACAGGTGGATTTCTGAGTTCGAGGCCAGCCTGGTCTACAGAGTGAGTTCCAGGACAGCCAGGGCTACACAGAGAAACCCTGTCTCGAAAAAACCAAAAAAACAAAAAAAAACAAAAAACAAAAAAAAAACAAAGGGCTGGAGAGATGGCTCAGTGGTTAACAGCACTGGCTGTGCTTCCAGAGAACCCAGCTTCAACTCCCAGCGCCCACGTCAGCTCATTCCTATTGCAGCTCTGGTTCCGGAGCTTCTTTCTGACACCCTCACACAGACATACGTGCAAGCTACACACCAATGCACATTAAATAAACATTTTAAAAAATGGCTCAGTGGCTAAGAGCACTGGATGCTTCTCTAGAGGGCTCAGGTTCAATTCCCAGCACTCACACGGCAGTTCATAACTAACTCCAGTGCCAGGGGAGCCATGGTACCAGGCATGCCTGTGGTGCACACATATGTGTATGCTGCAGGCAAAATACCCATACACAAAAAACCAAAATAAATCTTTTTTAAAAAAATAAAAATTAAATTAGCCAGGCAGTGGTGGTACACGCCTTTAATCCCAGCACTTGGGAGGCAGACGCAGGCAGATTTCTGAGTTCGAGGCCAGCCTGGTCTACAGAGTGAGTTCCAGGACAGCCAGGGCTACACAGAGAAACCCTGTCTCAAAAAACCTAAAAAAAAAAAAAAAATTAAAATTAAATTAAATAATTTTTTAAAGTGTGTGTGGGTGGTAGCTATAGTTCAGTCGTAAAGCACTTGCCCAAGGACCTGAGGCTCCAGATCCAATCTCCCAGAACCAGCAGCCCCTCAAAAAGAATTAGTCATATTCTTATTAAGTCCCTTTTGTTACCAATACATGACACATGCAAAGCATGTGAACAATGTTGCAAATGTAATATAACACAGGAAGACAGATCCCTCATAGCCTGGTCCTGGAAGGAACAAACAGGTCCAGGCCAAGCCCTGACAGTGCTGTATCTATGTGAAAATTCCCAAGTGTGGTCACTGCTCAGTAGTCAATTGAGAGGGTGACTATGCTTCCTCTAACGGTTAAAACTACATTTACCCATCTGTATGTGCACCCCTGTGCATGTGCTCACCTGCCTGCCACAACTCACGGGAGGAGGTCAGAGGACAACCTGCAGAAGTTTGTTCTGTCCTTCTACCAGCTGGGTCCTGGGGACTGAACTCAAGACCCCAGGCTTGGCAGCAAGCACCTTTCCCATTGAGCTCTCTGGCCAGCTCTTTTTGAAATTTGGATGGTTGTTTTTAAAGTTTTTTTTTTTTTTTTTTTTTTTTGGTTTTTCGAGACAGGGTTTCTCTGTATAGCCCGGGCTGTCCTGGAACTCACTCTGTAGACCAAGCTGGCCTCGAACTCAGAAATCCGCCTGCCTCTGCCTCCCGAGTGCTGGGATTAAAGGCGTGCGCCACCACCGCCCGGCGTTTTTAAAGTTTTTTAAAAGACAGAAACTGACATCTTTCTTTGAAGATTTATGCTGAGGGATTTAGGAGTGATGTGTCATCACGTCTACAACTAACTCTCTATGCTCCAGAAAAAACTACACTCATGTGTGCAGAGAGAAACGAAGCACATGGGACCAAAATGGGAGCAGTTGGTGACTGGGGAAGTGTGTCCCAGGGATTCAGTGCTCTCTTCTTGGAAATTGGGAAAAGTATTTCCCAAGTCAAAAGCTGGGAGGAGAGAGGGAAAACTGAGGACGGAGAGACCCCAGATTTAACCCTGTAAGCCTGAACTGTAAGAGGCACACTGCAGCCCCCTCCCTTACCTGCTGTGGTCAGACATCGCTGCAGAGGCACTAACATGGGCTGGAGCAAATACTTTGCGGCCAGTTCTGGATGTTCCCTCGACATAGTTATGAAGGTGGTAGTGGCCACTCTCTGAAACTGCCGAGCTGTCAGTTTATCTTGAAGATGGAATAAGTCCAGAATCTACAATAAAAAGTAACACTACATAAGAGGGGAAGCTATATATAGTTTTTAATTTTTTTAAAATGTATGAGAACCAAGCAATGTTACACATCCCTTTAATCTCTACACTCAGGAGATAGAGGCAGGAGGATCTCTGTGAATTTGAAGCCAGTCTAGCTTACAGAGCGAGTTCTAGTACAGCCAGAGCTGCACAGAAAAATCCTGTTATCAAAAAAGCAAAACAACAACAACAAAAACAAAGCATAAAATGTGTATGGGTATTTTACATGCATGTGTGTCTGTGCACCATATGCATGCCTTGCCACAGACGCAAGGAAGGAGTGCTGGATTCTCTGGGACTGGACTTCCAGAGAGCAAGTCCCTACGTGGGTACAGGAAATTAAACCTGAGTCCTATAGAAGAGCATCCAGTATTCTTAACCGCTAAGCCATCTTTCCAGCCCAAAAAAGCATTTATTTAAACCAAAATTATAAAGTCACTGAGAGACTGCTGAATACTGAGTTGACAGAACTGGTTTTTTTTTTTTTTTTTTTTTAAAGATTTATTTATTTTTATTTATGAGTACACTGTAGCTGACTTCAGACACACCAGAAGAGGGCATCCAATCTCATTACGGATGGTTGTGAGCCACCATGTGGTTGCTGGGATTTGAACTCAGGACCTCTGGAAGAGCAGTCAGTGCTCTTAACCGCTGAGCCATCTCTCCAGCCCAGAACTGTTTTAATTTAACAACCAAACATCAAAGGATACAAGCCAAAGAGGCTATTGTTGGTGGTGACGGTGGCAACTTACAGTTTTGTTCTTTGCTTTGGGGGACTTAGGTAGATGGTAGTTTGAAACAGCATCTTACTGTATAACCTTGGCTGGCCTGGAACTTGTTATGTATAGCAGGATCAGAGATACATGTGTATGTATACCACTTAAACTCATAGACTCAATTGTCTCTTCCTCCCAAGTGTAGGATTATAAGTGTGTGGCAGCATCCCTGGCCAAGATTTATTATTTATTTTCAGTGTGTGTGTGTGTGTGTGTGTGTGTGTACATACACATATGTGTGAGTGCCCTTGAGGGCTAGTAGAGAACGTCAGACCCTCTGGAACTGGAGTTACAGGGTTTTGTGAGCCGCCTGAAATGGGTGCTGGCAACCCAACTTGAGTCCTCTCAGAGCAGCAATCACTCTTAAACATGGAGTCAACCCTCCAGCCTAGTTTTTTCTTTTTAAATTGTTACCAAGTCAATTTAACTTATTTAACACTTAGTTCATTTTAGTTTAAAAACTAAAAACATGCACAAAGAGATAACCAGATGAAATTTTGGTGAGGCTTTTTCCCCCAATGATGCAGTCCAAACTCAAGAGATCTACTCGCCTTGACATCCTCAACTCTGGGAGTTTAAGTGTGAGCCACAATGCCCATCTGGTGAGCCACTCTTAAACCTAACAATCAGATTGTATTCTTCCACAGGTTTCTATTCACTTAGTAAGAAGAACCTGGGACTAGAGAGCTGGCTCAGCAGTTAAGAACATTGACTGCTCTTGCAGAGAACCAGAGCTTGGTTCTAGCACCCACACCAGGCAGCTCACAACTGTCTTGTTCTAATTTGGTTTTCTTTTATGGGGGTACACCACTCTGACCAAGAGCGCTTGTGGAAGGAAAGGGTTCATTGTTGCTTACAGGCTACACAGTCCTTCATCAAGGGAAGCCAAGGCAGGAACTGAAATGGAAATCAGGGAGGAAGGAGGAACACTACTGACTGGCTTGATCCTCATGGCTTGTCAGCTTGCCTTCTTATACAACTGATGCCCCCCTGCCCAGGGGTGGCACTGCCCACAGGGAGCTAGGCATTCCACAATAATCATTAATCAAGAAAATGCCCCACAAATATGCACATAGGCCAATCTGATAGGGGCAATTCCTCAGTTGAGGTTTCTTCTTCTCAGGTGACTCTAGTTTGTTGTCAAGTTGACAATTGACCAGCAAATACCTGTAGCTCCAGGACACAGGATGTGGTAGGTGTGTGCATGCATGTGCACACAAGAGGAGGTGGTGGTATTGGTGTTGGTCCCCACAGACACTGCAGCTCCCACCTGTAACTCCAGCACTAGGGAAGCTACAGCAAGAGGATCACTCCCAACCTGGGTTCTACATCAAGTTCTGAGCCAGTCTAGCCTACAGCGGCCCTGTCTCAAACAATATAAAAGAGTCACCCACTAAGTAGCAAAATGAAAAACTATATTGCTCTTCCTTCCGTTTCAGAACATTTGCTGCCCTGTATGTGAACTAGCAGACACACTTGATGGACCAGCAGTAATAAGATGACTTACCTGTGGGCAGATGTCCTTGTAGTAGCTCTCAGGGGACAGGGACTGCTGGGGACAAGAGGCCAGAATCTTTGCAATCAAGTCACACTTCCTCCAGTCGGCAGCTGTGGCCTCAGCACCGCTCCCACCGGCTGCCCCCGCTGTCACATGTAAAGAGACAGCAAATGCTCACAACAGTCCTCACAGAAAGTGCTAGGTGATGGATCTGCCTCAAAATTTGGGATAAGAAACATTTCTTTTTCTCTACTAGAAACACTATTTTTTATATTTTATTCTATTTTAATTTCATAAATATATAAAATGTTGTTTTATCAAAGTCCTCTTCATACCCTCTCTTAATCTCTTCTATCTCCCACCAAAAATTTGCCTCTGAAAAGACTCTGAGCTGGGTGTGGTGGAGCATGCCTGCAATCTCAGTGCTTGGGAAGCTGTCTCTAAAGGGAAAAAAAGCCAGATGTTGTGAGCTATGTCACAAATTTAAGGCCAGCCTGGTCTACATAAAGAGCTCCATCTAGAGTTACACAGAGAAAAGAATTCATTGCTAGTAGCCCTAAGAAGCAATGTTTTTTTAAGTTAAGGCGGAAGGAAATATGGATGGAAGCTCGGTTTTCAAAGATTTATTCATTTTCTATCACTTGTATTACTGTTTAGCTTGCATGATGTAGACTCACTGATAAGGCTAGAAGACCCTCTGGAACTGGAGTTACAGATGACTGGGAACCACCATGAGGGTGCTGGGAACCGAACCCAGGTTCTGGACAAAAACAGCAAGTGCTTTTAACCACTAAGCCATCTCTCCTGGTCCTTTTATTTGTTTTGTTTCGTGACTGGGTCTCACTTTGCAGAATGTACACCAGTTTAACTTCTCATTCTCAAAAGTCTTGAGTGCAGAAGTCACAGACGTGCCAACACACCTGACTTAGAAACATAGTATCCTGATATCAGCCTCCCACCTGCATGCCTTTGAGCATGCTCTCCTGGGCTTGAGGTCAGTGCCTCATAGATGCTAGATAAGAGGACCAGGCCGAGCTCCACCTCCAGCACTCAGTGAAATCTCAAGGCAAAGGCCAGCAATTTACCGCAGACTAACTCAAAGGGAAACAGATACTAAAGTAACAGAAACATGTTATCTCTTACCACCTGCTCCTTCCAAAATGCCCCGGACTACTGCCTGAACACCATTGGGTCTCATCAACCTTTCAGAGAGCAGCTGCCCACATAGACGGCGGAGCCACGCTGGGGTCCGGCACCTTAGCTGTGTCTTCACATCTGTACAGGACTGATAAAAGAGGGGTGGGGGAGAGTATAAACTGAGCATCAATGAAACATGCGGTATGAAGACACTGTTTTTACTTTTTGTGTTGGGGAGGTAGCTCAGTGGTATATCATGTATTAATATGTGCACACACACACACACACACACACACACACACACACACGGGTAGGAGGGTACATGTGCAATGCTCCTCCTACTCTCTCCTTTCAGTGCATGTGGAGGGAGGTCCTACAGCAGCAGCAGGAGTCAGTCCTCCCCTTCTGTCCTGTGGGTTCTGGGGCTCAAACTCAGGACGTTAGGCTTGGTGGTGAATGCCTTTACCCACTAGCCATCCTTTTGGTCTTGAGTTTTTGTTTCTTAACTAAAATTTGGCTATATACTTATTTTTTGACAGAAGTATTTGGGTACCTTATGCTTTGAATGGAATAATTTGAGCTCAAGAAAAATTTTTTAATACACACCCTACTCCCAACAAAACAAATAAATGTAATTGAAAAATTAATACAGAGGCAGGATGTAACTCAGTGGTAGACTAGGTTCTTTTGTTAATTTGTTTCTTTGTTTTGGGTTTATTTGTTTGCTTGCTTTTGAGACAGAGTTTCTCTATGTAGTCTTGGCTATCCTAGAACTCTCATTGTAGACTAGGCTGGGCTGGAGCTCAGAGATCCGCCTGCCTTTGCCTCTGCTTCTTGAGTGCTGTGATTAAAAGTGTTTGCCACCTCTGCCACCACCTCCACCTCAGACTATTTACCTAGCATGTACGAGATCCTAGGTTCAACTTCTTGGGTTTGTCACAAATAAAAATATCCAAAACCAGGTATAACGGCTCCTTGCACTTAGGAGGGTGAGGTGAGAGGAGAGCCACTAGTTTAAGGCCAGCCTGGGCTACATAGTGAGTAGCCACCCTGAACTATAGAGTAAGACTTTGTCTTAAAACAAATATATGAACTGAAGAGGTAGTTAGATGGCATAATCGCACTAGCTGCTCTTAGCAGAGGCCCTGGGCTCAATTCCAGGCACCTGCATGGTGCCTCATAACATCTACAACTCCAGTTCCAGGATATCCAAACCCCTTTTCTGACCTCTGCAGATACTAGGAAAGACACATGCAGACAAACATTCACACTCATCAAATAAAATACATCTTTTTTAAAATTATAAAAAACAAACATATGTATGTTTATATATTTCTATGGAGCATAATAGTATACACACTTAGAATTCCAGCACTCAGGAGCTAGAAGGCAGGAGGACCACAGGTGCAAAACTAGCCTGGGCTACATAAGACTGCTTCAAAAAAAAAAAAAAAACAAACAAAAAAAAAAAAACAAACATGTGACTCTGTGTGTGTGTGTGTGTCTGTGTTCACTATTAATTGCCATAAGCCTTTAAAAAGTGACTGTAATCTTGGAAAAGTATGCATCATCCCATTAACAAAAAGTCTTAAATGATCCTGAAGGTTGATGTCACTTTGTTTTCTAAATAGCATTTAATGATCTAATAAGTTAAGAGTAGGGTACAGTGGCTCAGATCTACCATCTCCGTACCTGGGAGACAGAACAATCTAAATTCAAACTAGCCTGTAAGGGTCTGGAAAGACAGCTCAGCACTTCAGAGCACTAGCCACTCTTCCAAAGGACCCAGGTTCCATTCCTAGCACCCACATGATGGTTCACAACCACCTTTCACCAGTTTAACTGCAGGAGATCCAACACGCACTTCTGGAATCTCTGATACTAGACACAGACACAGTGATACAGAGACAAACATGTAGGCAAAAGGATAAATACCAATAAAACAAAGTATAAGTATAGGCTATGTGTGGTAGTATGCCTTAATCCTATCACTTGGGAAGCAAAGACAGGCACATCTTTGTGAGCGTTCCAGGCCAATCAGGGCTACATAGAGAAATCCTATCTACAAAATACTCTACTGCTACTGCTGCTGCTAGAAAAAGGAGGAGGAGGAGGAGGAAGAGAAAGGGGAAGAGGAGGAAGAGGAGGAGGAAGAGGAAGAGGAGCAGCAAGGTTCAACTAGATGATTTTATAGGAAACTAAAGCCAGCTAAGTTTCCAGGCAAAGGAGACAGCACCACACAGCAACTCACCCACCAGGCCCTGAGGCCTGAGTACCTGGGGTGGTCCTCCCTGGAGAATAAGTAATTCCCGGACAGCTAATGGCTGATAGACTTGATCCAAGATGTCTCTCAAGGCCCGCCTCGATAGGGTTCTTTCCTCTTCTGTTAAAACCTAAAAGAAATGTGCACTCACTTGGCTTTCATGGAATACAGACCAGGCAGAGAACAGAAGGCAATGTTTTAGTACAGCTTGAGAGTGGAGACGAGGAAGACTCCCTCCTATTTCCTTCTATGTGGAGGAGGCTGTGCTATTCGTGGCTCTTTCTCCATCCCTCGCTCCTCCATTCTGGGCAGGAGCTGTGACTTCCTTCCTGATGATTATGGGATACACCTGCTTACTGTCCAGTGAGTGCGCACCTGCTCAGCCTGCTCCTCTTCTCTCAGTGGGAGTGAGACAGAGCAGAGGTGTATACCTGCCATGGGGGAGATGGCAGACGCCACAGTTTTCCAGGGCTCCTGAGACAGGATGAGCAGTAAGTGTCTCCGACTAAAGTGCACTGGTAGAGCTCGATCTTTATTTACGAGATCTTTCCTCCACCTTTGTCTCTTTTTTGGTAAGATTTATTTATTTATTATATACAGTATTCTGTCTGCATATATGCCAGCACACCAGAAGAGGGCACCAGATCTCATTACAGATGGTTGTGAGCCATCATGTGGTTGCTGGGAATTGAACTCAGGACCTCTGGAAGAGCAGTCAGTGCTCTCAATCTCTGAGCCATCTCTCCAGCCCCTGTCTTTGTCTTTATGAGCAGTGGTGATGTTTTTACTTCATTGTGGAACTGGTTCTGCACATTTATGTGGGTTCTGGGGATTAAACTCAGGTTACCAGGTATTCATGGTAAACGTCTTTACCACTGAGGCATTCCTGCCACCCCCACATTTTGACTTTTGACTTTTTGTTTCTGACTCTGATGATGGCTTTTTTCACGAATTCAGAACTTGACTCTCAAAGGAGGCGAGTTACTTTGGGTACTCTTTTGTTTGTTTGTTTTTTGTTTTGTTTTGTTGAGACAGGATTTCTCTGTGTAGCCCTGGCTGTCCTGGAACTCACTCTGTAGACTAGGCTGGCCTCAAACTCAGAAATCCGCCTGCCTCTGCTTCCCAAGTGCTGGGATTAAAGGCATGTGCCACCACCGCCCGGCACTTTGGGTACTCTTAATGGCCAACAGTACCATAACCTTAGGTAATTATGGCTCACACTCAGGGTCCCGCCCATTCAATACTCTGTAGCACACTGAGATGTGGGTGCTATGCAGAGTACCTTCGCAATGTACAGTCATGGGGTGTCCCTGTCAACTCCTAAGCCAGCCTTCATACTTGGGTTCTTCCTATGTGTTTGTCTCTTTTCTGAGTCCCTTGGAACACTGCAGGGCCTCAAAGGCACTCACTCACAGGTCTCTGACCTCAGGCTGCAGGCACTGCTGATACTGCCAGTATGCAGTACCCTGAAGTAGAGACAGATGCTCTGTTCACTGTTTAGAGACATTGCTTGGTCACAGTGGCTTTTAGGTAAATACCCGGGAAGTGGTGTGCATTAGTTAGGGTTACTATGCTGTCATGCAACATCATGACCAGAAGTACATTGGGGAGGAAAGGGTTTACTCTGCTTATACTTCCACATCACTGTGCATCAGCAGGGCAGTTAGGGCAGGAACTAAGGCAAGGTAGGAACCTGGAGGCAGCTGCTGATGCAGGGACCATAGCTGCTTACTAGCTTGCTCCTCATGGCTTGCTCCTCATGGCTGGCTCAGCCAGCTTTCTTACAGGACCCAGGACCACCAGCGTAGGCATGACTCTGTCCACAACGGGCTGGGCCTCCCCATCAATCACTAGTTAAGAAAATGCTCTACAGGCTTGCCTGCTGCCTGATCTTATGGAGACATTTTCTCAACTGAGGTTCCCTCTCAGATGACTCTAGCTGTGTCAAGTGGAATTAATCTGGCCAGCACAAGGTGGGAGAAGGAATACAAACAGACCAAACAGAAAGACTTTAAGGAACACAAAAGAAAAAAAAAAAAAAAAAGAAGCAAGGGTGACCCTGGCAGGAGTGAGCCAGCGCTGGTGACCCTGGCCCATTTACATTTTAACAGCAGTTTCTCTGGCTAGCTCTTGAGGCTGGCCCACTAATTGGAGGACACAGTGGTCCTATCTGTCAATCTTAGCTCCTCAGTTACTGTGTGAGCCTGAGTTATATGAAGAGAAAGGACATGTCTATTCTGTCTGCTTTCTGTTACTGTGACAAAACACTCACCAAAAACAAGTTGAGGAGAAAAGGGCTTATTTGGCTTACACTTCCGGGTCACTGTCCATTACTGAGGGAAGTCAGGGAAGGAGCTCAAGCAAGAACTAAAGCAGAAGCCATGTAGGAGTGTATTTACTAGCTAGCTCTCTGCTCAGTTAGCTTGAGTGTACAACCTGGGCCCACCTGCCCAGGGACGGCACAACCCGCAGTGGGCTGGGCCCTCCCACATCAACTATTAATGAAGACAATTCTCACTCACAGATATCACCAGGGGCAAACTTTACCTGGGCAATCCTTAAACTGAGACATCCTTAAATGATAATGGGCTGTATCAAGTTGACAGCTGTAGCTAACTAGGACAATGGCTCAGGCTTCTGTAACCTCCACATATATTCTGTGCTCCAGATACCAACTGCTCCCCCAGCAGCCCCCATTCAAGTACTAACTAGGTGCAGCCATGCTTAGCCTCCAACTATCAGACAAGATTCAGCGCATTAGGTGGTATGGCCATGCCTGGGCTTCTCCATCCTTTATCTCATTGGACCTCCTGACAAAGAAGACATGACTTTTAACTGTTTTCTGAATTAGCACTAACGGGAACGGGTTTAGGTACTTAAAACACTTCATCATTACCATGGCGGTCATCTTCTAAGGCTTATATTATTATATTCATTTTATAAAAGGGCTGGAGAGATAGCTCAGCAATTAAGAGCTCTTGCTGCTCTTTTAGAGGGCCTAAGTTCAGTTTCCAGCACCCATATCTGGTGGCTCATGATAACCTATAATTCCAACTCCTAAAGGATCCAAGGTCTGCACACGCAGGCATATACACTCACAGGGACATACTATACACATAAATAAAAAATAAGTTAAATAAAAAAGGAAAAAAGTTGGGTGGTGGTGCACACCTTTAATCCCAGCACTTAGGAAGCAGAGATAGTCGGATTGCTATGAGTTCAAGGTCAACCTGGTCTATAGATCAAGTTCCAGGACAGCCAGGGCTACACATAGAAACTCTGTCTCAACAAAACAAAAAACGAAGAAGTGGGGGAGAACAGACGTTCTAAGAAATAGCCTGAAACAGCTGTCCCACAGAATGATACAGACAGACAAAATAGTGAAATGACAGCTCTCAAAGCATGCAGAAGGCTAGCCCCCAGAGAATGAAGCCTCCATACCCCTTCTCCCAAAAGATTACAGGTCACAACTCTGGGTGTGCTTTAGCACTAGATAGAAATTCTGTATCTTTCAGACAGCTCATTTCTAAAGAACTAAGAAATGCCTTTTAGAACCTGACACAAATATACATGCTAGTATTCATATTCCCTCCACCCACCCCCACACCCACGCCGTATATTTACCTCTTCCACAGGTACTAGTGGTTTTCTTTTGTTTGGGCAGAATCCCAGCTGGCACAGACCTGCTGCAATATCCCCAAAATGGCGGCAAAAAATCAAGCTCCCCAGAGATGCGTGCTCAGCCAGGTCGAGGAGGACCCTGCAGCAGATGTACAGTCTCCGGGTGGCGTGGGGAGCAGCCTCTAGACGTACAACATCCTGAACAACAGCCCCAAACTCAGTCCTGTCTCTCAGAGGGACTCCCACGCCAGGCACGAGGTAGGGGCAGATACCCAAGGTGACTACAAACTGCAGAACGGACTGGAAGGTCTTCTGTTGGGAGACACTGAGCGTATCTGGACTGAGGGCAGGGGCAGCCTCTGGAGTCCTGGGGTTAGGTTTGCCAGGATTGAAGTCAGCTACAAGGCGGGTCATGATTTCCTTCAGACAGAGCAGCAGCAACAAGGTTTGAGAGGTGAAACTCCAAGTGATATCCTCAGAGCTCTGTGGCCACTCAGCCTTATCAGCAATTTCATCTCTTAGGGCTCTGAGATTCTTCCAGTGAGCATCCTTCAGAAACTTAACCTCCAACGCAGACAGGTTAGATTTAAGAGTCTCCAGTAGGACATTATGTTTTGTGTTCTGTAGTGAACTTGAGTCTGATCCTTTTGAAGTGAGAAGGGGAAAAACAAGCAAAGAAAACAGATGACACTTCCTTCTGTGTAAAACATATTGCCCACTCCAGCCAGTGAAGATGGGAAAAACTGGGGGTGTTGTCTATAAGACTGTTAGGCAGATCAAATATTCTTTTCTGTGGAAGAGTCATTCTTGTGGTACTGAGGACCAAACCAAGGGCCTTACACATGCTATGTGAACATTGATCCTAACCCCAAACCTTTAAAAAAAAAAAAAAAAAACCAACATCTATGGGTTGGCAAGATTCATCAGTGGTAAAGAATTCACCAAACTGAGCTCCTTCCCCAGAACCCACATGGTGGAGAACAACTCCTGCAAACTGCCCCTGACCTCCACATGCATGTGGTGGTGGCATGTATGTGCCCACACTAACATGACTATTACATCCATACAGTAATAATGAAATAAAAAATTTCAATCTATGGTAAACACATAATATTATGTATGCATTTACCCAAACTGTATACCAGGAAGACTGAACTAATATAAACCGTGGACTTGGGTTAATAACCATGTATGTATTCCTCATCACATGAAAACAAATTACTAATAGCAGAACTGGGATTCAGGTGGATAATGGAGCAAACATATGGAAATTTTTCAATTTCCTCTTTTTCTCTAAACCTCAAGATGTAATCAAGTGTATCAGAGCACTTGGGAAGCAGAGGCAGGGAGATGCTGAGTGTCAGGCCACCCTGGGGTTGTTAAAACAACAACAAAACACACATACACACATACACACACACACACACACACACACGGGGTGAGGGAAAGGGAAAAGGAAAGGGAAAGGGAGGGAGAGAAAGATGGAGAGGGGAGGGGGGAGAGGGAGAGGGGGAGGGGAGAGGGAGAGGGTGAAGGAGAGGGAGAGAGAGAGGGAGAAGGAGAGGGAGGAGAGGGAGAGGGAGAAAGAATCAGGTAACCCTAGCATCTAGAGAACACTGTGTGTGTGTGTGTGTGTGTGTGTGAGAGAGAGAGAGAGAGAGAGAGAGAGAGAGAGAGAGAGAGAGAGAGAGAGAGAGAAGACTGGAGTTCAAAACATCAGTTATCTTTCTCAGTCGCTCTCTAACTTATCTTTTGAAACAGGGTCTCTCTCTGAACCTGGAGCTCACTAATCTGGCTAGACTGGCTAGTCAGGAAGCTTTAGGGATCTCTGTGTCTCATCTTCCTGATTCAGATGAGGGCTGGGATCCGAACTCAGACCCTCAGTCTGCATAGCAAGCCCATTACCAAATAAGCCATCTGCCCTGCACAGTTTTTCTTTTTTCACTTATTTAGATTTGAAATTATTCTGTAGTAAATCATACTGCTTCTGTACATAAAAAGCTATTTAAATGTTATAAAACTAGGGCTGACCAAACCAAGTATCCTGGCCCACAAGCATTAAAATATGGTTCCTTCAACAAATGCACACCACAACAGGAAATGTGAGCTTGTAACTGATAGTGACCATTCAGATCAGCAACTAGTCTCTACACAACTCCCTACGATTTTATCTGATTCTCTGGCCAAAGAGGCAGTGATTTAAAGCAAGAGCTTAGTGGAGTGCTGGAGTCCCTGTGATACAGCAGTCTTCTCTGCCCTCTACTGGCCATAAATAAAATGCCTCAAAATGGTCACATCTCTTTCTTTCTTTCTTTCTTTCTTTCTTTCTTTCTTTCTTTCTTTCTTTCCTTTTTGGTTGGGTTGGTTTGATTAATTGATTGATGATTGATTGATTTTTTGAGACAGGGTTTATCTCTGTAGCCCTAGCTGTCCTGGAAACTGCTCTGAAGATCAAGCTGGCCTTGAACTCACAGAGATTCATCTACCACTGGAGTGCTGGAATTAAAGGCATGGGCCACCTGGCTTGGCTCCTCTTTTTCTTCAGCAGCAAACCTCACATCCTTCCTGCCAACGCCAGCTTAGCTTTGAAACAGGGTCTTGCTGTTTCAAGCCCAGACTGGTCTCTGCTTCCTGAGTGCTGGGATTAGAGGAACCATGTCTGATGAGTAGTGAGAATTTTGATTTCTTTAAAAACTCGGTTATGTTATATGAATATATTTTTTGTTTTAATCACTGGTTCAGTTTGTCTACAGCTGTTAACCATGATTGTCTCATGTTCTAGGAGGGGCATGATCTTTGCAGGGGCAGACAGTTTAATTCTGGGGACAATGGAGAAAGTATAAATACAAGAGCCCCAGGACAGGTGGAAAGAGAAGAAGGTGGCTGCTGCTCCCCCACCCCAGCCCACCACCCTAACCCCCTCCACCCCCTCGCTTCTCCCAGTTGCTGTTGTGGTTTGACTGAAGAAGTTGGAGACATTATGACAACGAAGATTAGACAACCCTAATCAGCAGGAAGTAACCTATAAAGGTCTACGTCCTCTTTCCCCTCTTACCTCCTCTCTCCTACCCGCTAGGTAGTGATAGGGAGTTGGAAGAGAGGTAGAGGTATAAGAACCCAATAAAACAATAAATACGCCAACACTGATGCTAAAGCAGCAGTTCTTAAAACGTGACATGAAGAACCCTGACCTCAAAAAGTCTGCAAGGAGAAAACAAATCCCTAATAACTGCTAGTTAGCATCTATTGCTTTGATAAACACCACCACCAAAAGCAACTTGGGGAGGGCAGTGTTTCTTTGGCTTACCGCTTAAAATTCATCATCTAGGGATGCCATGGAGGAAATGAAGCAGGGACCATGAGGAATGCTGCTTACTGGCTTGCTGCTCATGGCTCACTCCCCTTCCTTTTTATAGAACCCTGGACCACCTGCCCAGGCACTGCTCACAGTGTGTGGGGCCCTCTCACATCAATCATTAATGAAGAAAATGCACCACTGACACGCCTACAAGCCAATCTGATGGAGGCATTTTCTCAACTGAGGTTCCCTCTTAGCAGAAGACCCTAGGATGTGTTAAGTTGACAAACAAAACAACAACAACAAAAACCCTACCCTCACCAAAAAAAGAGCCAGATGTCTGGTATAGGCATTCAATCTGAGAACTTGGGAGGTAGAAGTAAGCAAATCCCCAAAGTCTGAGGCTAGACTGTTCTACAAAGCAAGTGCCAAGAACACAGAGCTACACCTTATCTCAAGCACGCCCGCGCACGCGCACACACACACACACACACACACACACACACACACTGCAGGAGTAAACTAAACTGGTACAGTATGTGAAAGCACAGACCTGGGGCTTGATCCCCAATACTAAAACCAAAGAACGAAACAGTCAGCTTGGTGGTGCATACCTGTAACCCCATTAATCAGGAGGCTGAGGCAGTTATTGCCACTAGTTTGAGTCCAGCCTGGACTACACAGACAGTTCTAGGCCAGTCTGGGCTATAACATTCCAAAATAATAATAATAATAATAATAATAATAATAATGAAGAAAAGAAAAAAAGACAGAAAAGAAAAAACCGCATCCAGATCCACACAGTATACAACAGTCTACATATACAACAGAGTATAATTTTAGGGGGCTGGAGAGACGGCTCCATGGCTGAGAGTACTTAGCTCTCTCACAGAACCAGAATCTAGTTCCCAGTGCCCACATGAAGGGGTTCACAGCCTCATATAACTCCATCTCCAAAGGATTTAATGCCCTCTTCTGGTTCCATGGGCACCCACATACATGCACATACACAAAGACACACATACATATACATAAATAAAAATATAATAAGTCTTCTTTTAAAACGAAGAATTTTAGCACACTATTTATTTATTCCTTTTCAAACAGGCAGGAGTGCTTGGATTCATGTGAGTTAAATGAGCGTGTATATGACTCATCCCCTTACCCTTGGAGGTTACTGGGGGCCTTCCACAAGGGATGCATATGACTTTTGTAATAATTGCTTCTAAGTTTTGTTTACTTAACCTGCTCTCCAGCCAGGAATAGTGGCACAATTCTATAATCCAAGTATTGGAGAGTTTACAGCAGTCGGATTGCCTTGAGTTTGAGGCCAGCCTGGGCTACAGTGCTAGACCCTGTTTTGGAAGGAAAGAAAATAAACAGTGGTGTAGATGTAGCTGGCAGACTGACTGCCCAGCAGGCAAGATGCCCTAGGTTTGATGCCCCAGCATTACATAAACCAGGTGTGACGGTGCAGGCCTGTAATCCCAACACTCAGGTGATAGAGGTAAAGGAATCAGAAATTTAAGTTCATAATACAGTACAGGAATTCAAGATCACCCTTAGTTATGTGGGTAACATGAGACCCTATCTCAAACCAGAAAAAAATCAAAACCAAACCAACCTAATAGCTACAACTGCTAAACAAGGGGCTTCTCTATTAGTAAATTAAAAAAAAAAAAAAAACAGTAGACACAAGTTCAATTCCCAGCACCTATGTCAAATGTCTCACAACCGCCTATAACTCCAGGGGGATCTGACACTTCTGGTCTCTCCGGATAACTGCATTCACACGTACATACCCACACATACAGGTTAATAAAAACAAAATAAAGCTTATTTTCTTTTAATATGGAAGCTGGAGGGATGGTTCACTGGGTAAGACCACTTTCTGCACTAGAGGGGACTAGGGTTTGGGTCCCAGCACCCACATGACAGCTGACAACAACAACAGCCTGTAACTCCAGTTCCAGATAATCTGACAGCCTCTTCTGGCTTCTGCGGGCTACTGCACACACACAGTACACACACACTCACTTACAGAAATAGGCGCACACACACATATGTAAAATATGTATCCTGCCATTGACTCTTTTTTTTCCCCCCTTTTTTTTTTCAAGACAGGTTTCTCTGTATAGCCCTGGCTGTCCTGGAACTCACTCTGTAGACCAGGCTGGACTCGAACTCAGAAATCCACCTGCCTCTGCCTCCCAAGTGCTGGGATTAAAGGTGTGCGCCACCACCGCCCAGCCACCATTGACTCTTAATTGGAGCAATAGAGTATATTTTCCATGCTTTTCCTGAAGGAGCTGAGCTTTGCCACGTACTAGCTTTACTTTAGGCACTTTCCAATGTATGTAAACCTTGGTTCCTTCCTCTGCAAAAATGAATGCTATTAATACTTCTCTTAGGAGACTGCTCTGGGGACTAAATGATACACACATAAATGGACTATGGAGACTGGCACTTAGCAGCCAATCACCTACTACTAGTTTCTTTTCACGTCCCACTAGTACGGTGTAATGTTTGTAGCTGTAGTTTGGGAGTCGATTTTTGAGACTGAGTGTTCACCTCATGATCGTACATGTGCCTTTATCTTGATAATTCTATACACACCCATACATGCTGTATTTATAAGTAGGATATTTTCTTACACTCTTCTACATTTCCAGAGGTCATCAGAAGTTCTATTCTGAATAACTTGCCTTAGTCTGACAAAGAGATCAGGCAGAACTGAGTTCTTAGGTCCATGGCCTTCCCCCTAATATAACCACGTGATCTGGGGTGTGAGTTCCAGGACATACATTAACTATAGAGTAATACCCTGTCTAAAAAAAGGAAAGGGGAGAGGGCGTGAATAGTGATGCTTGCCTTTAATCCCAGCATTTGAGAGGCAGAGGCAGTCAAATCACAGATTGGGACTCAACGGTAAGGGAAAATGCAAGGTTTCACTATTCCCAAGGTCCCTTCAAATACCAAATTGGGGAGTCAACGCAACACAAGAGATTAAAAGTGACTGTGCATCTCTGATACCAAAATGGAAATCCTTAAAAATCTTCCTCAAATTCAGCCAAAACGTCCCCGCTTGGCATCTCTGGCCACTTGGCATTTTGTACAAAACTCAAGCGTGGAGCCCTCAAGCGGTTGGGACATCACATTACACCTGTCGGAAGGTGTCTCCATTCCTAGTCAAGAGCCGCGCTGGAGCAAAACAGTGGACCGAAGCCGCTGATCAGTGAGGCGCCCAACGGACCTCGGCCAGCATCAACATTCAGCGGACCGCAGGTCCTCCTGGAGCTTTAGTTTTCTTACGTTTTCAGTGAGACTGCACAAGACCCAAACGCTCCCGGGAGTGGGATGGAGATCCCGGGAAGGCCTGAGGGAAACATGTGGGGGCAGCCAGGGCGAGCCCGCGACCCCGCGAGCCTCAGGTCCAGCCCCGCGCCGAGATTCGTCCTCTCACCTCCCGGACTCAGCAGCAACTTCAGCGCTTCCAGAATCTGCTCCAGACCACATGTCTCCAGAACGCCACTCGGCGCAGCCGCCGCCGGTCGGGACGCCGCCATGATTGGAGTGGAACTAGCCACTTGCGATCCGTTCAAACGCCCTACTGGACCAGTGCGGCCGCCATTTTGAATGTGGCGGAGGCGTGCCTTCCAATGGAGGGCGGGGCCCAAGGCCTGGGGCGGGACCTACTCTATCTGGAACGCCCCTTCTCTGAAAGAAAAAAAAAACCACACAGTTTCTTGTGTTGTTCTGGCAGAGCGCCCCAGTGCAATTCCCAGCATTCATAGCAGACATCAGCCTGCAAACTCAGATCTCACACCTCATACACATACACATGCATAACTTCAAATATTTTAAAAAGAAAAAAATTAACTTCTATAGAAAAGGTAGAATAAAAATTTTAAGTCTAGTACTTAGAAGCAGAAGCCAGCTTGGTCTACATAGCAAGTTCAAGGTCACCCAGGAACTCTGAGAGACCCTGACTCAAAAACAGAAGAAGAAAGAATACAAGTAGTCTTGCATGGTGGCCCATGCTTCTAATCTCAGCTGCTGTAGAGGCTATAGGAGGAGGATCACATGTTCAAAACCAGCAAAGGCAGCTTTAGTGAGACCCTCTCAAAGCTATGAAGAGCTGGAAATGTTATCCAGTAATAGAGCACACAACCATGAGTTCATCCCTCAGTACTTCAACCCAGAGGGTGGGGGAGGGAACAGAAATAGTTTTTTGTTTGTTTGGTTGGTTGGTTGGTTTTTGGGTTTTTTTGAGACAGGGTTTCTCTGTGTAGCCCTGGCTGTCCTGGAACTCACACTGTAGACCAGGCTGACCTCGAACTCAGAAATCCGCCTGTCTCTGCCTCCCAAGTGCTGGGATTAAAGGAATGCACCACCACCACCCGGCAAAATATACATTTCAATATGAATTTTTTTTTTTTGGTTTTCCGAGACAGGGTTTCTCTGTATAGCCCTGGCTGTCCTGGAACTCACTCTGTAGACCAGGCTGGCCTCGAACTCAGAAATCCGCCTGCCTCTGCCTCCCAAGTGCTGGGATTAAAGGCGTGTGCCACCACCACCTGGGGAAAATTTTCAAGTACTGAATGAAACACAATAAAATAAGGTTGGCAGATGTACATAGAGCCTGAAAGACAAGCGTAGGTGTGCAGGGGGAGTACAGATATCTTTCAGAACAGAGTGTCAGCTGGGTGAAGGTTCAGGGGACAGGCCACTATGACTCCACTTATAATTCACTTGTTCTTATCTAAGTTGGTACTATCCACCAAGGCTACCCAAGGTCTATGACTATCCACAAGAACTATGACTACTTGTTCCTATCCAGGCTGGTAAATTTCCACCAAAGCTGCCTGTTTACAAATATCTTATAGTTGTGTTTCAGTGTTTTTCCACAGAGACCCAAGACTTTGTGTTAGCAGTCTGACTTAGGCCTATTGCTGATTTTAGGCCTTCAGTGTATAAGCAAGGCTGCCCCTGACAGAGAAGCTCACAACAGTGACACCAGCGTTCAGGGAAGCTGAGATAACAAGACCACAGGTTCATAATTTTGTCCCCAAAAGTAAAATAACAAAAAAATATTCAACTTAGTATTACTGATTTCCTTTTGTTTTCCTTTTGTGACATTTAAAAATAAATACACACAGAGCTAGAGAGAGATGGGTCAGTGGTATAGAATATTTGTTGTTCTTGTAAAGGATCCAGGTTTAATTCCCATCACCCACATGATGGCTCACAGCCTTGTATAACTCCAGTTCTAGGGGATCCAATACCCTCTTCTTGCCTCCAAGACGACCAGCCACACATGTGGGGCACAGACACACATACAGGCAAAATACTCATAACTATAAAATAAATAATTATTTAAAAATCTAAAAATAAATATGCACATATGCATATATTCTGTGACTGTGATAGCCACAAATAGCCCCATTGGTATATGTTGGTTTTGTTGGGTGATGGAGATTAAAGCCAGAGCCTCATGGGGGATGGGGTAAGGGGACAACATAGGAAATGTAAATAAATCATCCAATAAAAAAAAAAAAAAAAAAAAAAAAGCCAGAGCCTCTAGCGCATGCTGTCTGCCAGTAAACTGCACTGGCATCGCCGGTGGTGAGGTCTTGAGATGTCCTTAGTAATGTCCCTCTTTGTCCTATTTATATGGCTGCTGAATTACTAGAAGATCCATTTTATACTAAAGCAATAATCCCTCCCCCCATTACGTTAATATGGAAATGAAACTAAGTTTGAGATTCAGATAATTAGCGAAAGGTTTTCTTCACCTCCATCATTCCTGATGGGACAGTCGCAGATCTCAGGACAATGTTGTTGGTTGGTTGCTTGCTTGCTTGTTTGGGGGGGCTGCTCTTGCTTGTTTGTTTGAGACAGGGTCTGGGGGTGTAATAGCCCTGGCAGTCTTAGAACGTGATTTGTAGACTAGGATGACCTCGAACTCACAGAGATTCATCTAAAGGCATGTGCCACCATGCCCGGCTCAATGCTAGGGTTTTTGGGGTTTTTGTTTTGTTTTGTTTTGTTTTGTTTTGTTTTGTTTTGTTTTGTTTCGAGACATGGTTTCTCTGTGTAGCCCTGGCTGTCCTGGAACTCACTCTGTAGGCCAGGCTAGCCTCGAACTCTCGAATTCAGAAATCTGCCTGCCTCTGCCTCCCAAGTGCTGGGATTAAAGGTGTGCGCTACCACCGCCCAGCATTGCTAGGGTTTTTTAAAATTATTTTTAGTTAATTTTTATTTATAAGGAATAAATCATTATGACATCTTTACCCCACATCTATGATAGTCTTTGCCCCTCACACCTACCCCAGCCCATTGCTCCCGGTGTCCATCTTTACCTCTTTTACTGACCCTCTTCCTGCCCCAGGTCGATGCTTTTGGGAATGCAATGTTTAGCATGCCTGCCCCTCTCCAGTAAACACCCATCACTGCACGCAGGAGGCTGAAGCAGGAAGAAGAAAAGGAAAAGGAAACAATACATCAAAATCCAATCATGGTCTTCTGTCACTGCCATTTCCAAATCTCAAGAAAATGTTCCTCGACCCTCCCTGGGGCACACTGGGATGGAACATGGTTCATGCCTCCCCTACCAAATGAATGGCTAGAAGTCCGGAAGGCAGAACTACTTCACATGTAGTCTCAGTCATGAGGAAAGACACTTTCTGTATAACTCATTCCTCAGAACTAGGTAGGTCTGCCCCCTCGTGGTCTATCTCATTCCTCTGGGTTCCAACCCAAACCTATCCACTTGCTAGCCTCTAAAATGAAAAGAAAACATGGTCACAAAGACTACTGAGAGAAGTTTAAAAGAACTGTTGTCAGTCACTGCCAATGTGGGGTAAAAGGTCTGAGCTCACTTCCTGGTTTATAAAACCCACCAAATCCCTGAGTTTGAAATACCCCCCCAGTGCCCTCCTCCCCCAAGAAAGTGAGCCTCCTGCTCATTCCCTCTGTTTATTGCCTGAGCAGAGGCAGACCACCCTCTTCCATCCTTCTCCAATAAACCTTTTGTATGAGGTTTGTTGTGTTGTGTAAGCTTGTGGCAGTCCTTGGCTCTGGACTGCCAGGATATTTTTCCCCTCAGAGCTGTAACACGGGCAATATTTGCAACAGGGAAACTGTTTACTGAATGGTGACTCTCTTTCTCAAATGCTCTGCGCGCACACACACACACACACACACACACACACATACACACACACACACACACCCTGAGGATTAAAGACCACCACTGCCTGGCTCCTGTGGAGATGTGTTTGATGGGAAAACACACAACCTTGAAAGTTACCGAGATGTTCTTTCATTGTATACACTCCCTTCCAGGCTTACAGAATCAGATAACTTTCCCTCAGTACATACACAAATTCATCCTGGTGTTATGCCCAAGTCTTGGGATCCCCAGAAGAGCTCAAGGAACTGCCAACCCTATGTAGTAAAGCAAAGGAGTCTTTATTCAGAACCAGACTCGGGTCCCAAACCATTCCCTCTGCACAGGGTAGGAATGTGACAAACCCCCACCTCACCCCACATCTAGGGTCTCAGAGTTTTTATACACAAGAGATTCTCGGACTTCAGGGTTACGTGACAGGGAAGGTGACAAGGGAAATCGTCCTTCAAACACAATACCATTTGTAGGGGAGCTCTTCTGACCTTTACGATGCTACCAGGAACTAGTGTTTTTACAAACTGGCCACAGCTGTCTGGGAATGCTTAATTGCTCTCCTCTCATGGCCCAAAGTATGGATGGTACTTATCTCTTCAAGGATGTTTGGTCTTCGCTTTTCCCAAGGACAGGGGCCACCTGCACTGGGAAGTATTTAGCCATCTATCAGAGAGGGTGCCAGCCTCGGCGACACAGGTGTTGAGTTGTTGCTGTTTGTTCCCAAGCTGGCACTCTGAAAACGGGGATAGCAATATTTCGGCGCCAGGCCACACCTTCTCTGAAAGGCCAGGTGGTGAGAAAGAGCAGGGGGGGGAGAGGAAGCTCTGAGAGCATCCAGAAAAGCACAGAGGCTGGCTGCCCCGCCTCGTCACTGGGAAAAATTACTAAAAGTGATTGAAGGTTGTTCGATTTAGTGAGGCCAGACAGGTTCTTGCACTCAGCAGGCTGAGTCAGTATTGCCCGAGTTCTAGCTGATCTTCATAGAGAGCTCAAGACCAGTCAGGGCTACTTGTCTTTTAAAAAGGGGGGTGGGTGGGCAGCAAGATGGCTCATCAGATAAAGGTGGTTGTTACCAAGTCTGACATAAAACTTGAATTTTATCCCTGGAACTGACAAAACTGACTCCCTGATATCCACGAGGTCCCATGACTTCCTCATGCACAATCACCCGAACTGGACACACACTGAAGAAATCATACCACAAATAAATGTAATTTTTTGCCGGGCAGTGGTGGCACCCGCCTTTAATCCCAGCACTTGGGAGGCAGAGGCAGGTGGATTTCTGAGTTCGAGGCCAGCCTGGTCTACAGAGTGAGTTCCAGGACAGCCAGGACTATACAGAGAAACCCTGTCTCGAAAAACCAAAAAAAAAAAAAAATTAATTTTTTTTTTTTTTTTAAAAAGGGAAAACGGGGGAAGTTGTGTTAGTAAAGGGGTTTTTTCCAAAAATAAAAAAAAAAAAAAAAAAAGAGTTTGACTTCTAAAACCCACAATAGAAAAAAAGCTAGAAAAAGCTGGTGTGCACACTGGGTCCCTGGAGTCTAGTCTACTTGGTAAATTTCAGGCCAGTAGACACCCTGTTTCAAAAAAGCAAATAAACAAAATTAATAAACAGGGCTAGAGAAATGGCTCAAAGGCTAAGAGTATTTGTTGCTCTCACAGAGGCCTCAGATTTGGTTCCCAGAACCCACGTGGTGGCTCACAACCATCTGTAGAATGTTTTCAATTTTAGAGGCTCTGATGCCTTCTTCTGTCCTCCACAGGTACCAGGTGTGTACACATAAAACAACTTAAAGAGATTAAACATAACACCCATACACATAAAATAAAATGATCTAAAAGAGAAATTGAACAGCCAGGCTGTGGTGGAGTATGCCTTTAATTCCAGCAAGCAGAGGCAGGGGCAGAGGCAGGGGCAGAGGCGCAGAGGCGCAGAGGCGCAGAGAGGCAGAGAGGCAGGCAAGATCTCTGGTCTATAGAGGAAGTTGTAGGACAGCCAGGGCTACACAGAGAAATCCTGTCTCGAAAAACAAAACAAAAAACAAAGAGGAGGAGGAAGAGAAGGAAGAGGAGGAAGAAGATGAGGAAGAGGAGGAGGAGGAGGAGGAAGAGGAGGAGGAGGAGGAGGAGGAGGAGGAGGAGGAGGAGGAAGAGGAGAAAAAAGAAAAGGCAAAGAAATTAGAAAACAAACATAAACTGACATCTGGGAGCTCCCCAGTGATACACTGTTAAGAATCCATTACAGACAATCCTCACAAGAACTATACCCAGAAGACAGACCCTGTGCAAAGACACATCTGGGGATACTTAAGATAGACCCTGGGAGGTAGTCATATAAAACTCAATCCATTGACAGCCATCCAACAAGGAGCCCATTATCAAGACTTGAGGGGCAGCAGCTGCACAAACCATCAAAGTACACAGGGGTTGCTTGTCCCCTGTTTGTTAAACTCAGAACTAACAAAACTAACAGCTTTCAGGGGATCAATGGCTGTCTTACAAGCACGGAATTTCCAGGAAAGACGCCAGCACATTAAGGATTCTTGGGGAAACCATTTTTGAGAGCCATTCGTGATAGCTAGAATGTTTTCATTTCTTTATCTTTGGGAATATCTCCCAGCTCAGACATGCTAGGCTAGCATTCTCCTACTGAACGACACTGCAGCCCTTACTCTTCTGTTTGTCTTCTGTAATAACAGAAGAGCCCTTGTCCCCTTGTCTCTTCTGTTATTTACGCATCCACTGTCATGTTCAGAGAATCAGTCCTCCATTGCAGAACTTTCCCTGCTGCCTTCTAAGAGGTCTATAGTTTTAAGCCATTATCTAAAGTCATTAGCCTTTTATCTATTGAGCAGCAATCGATATATTAGGAAAAGAAAGGCTCAGGTTCATTCCTTCACATGCCATTAGCCAATCTTCACGTGTAGAAAAGACTATCTCCGTCCCACCACTGAATGGCTTTGAAACCACTCAAATATCATTTAACCAAATGTCCTAATTAGCTTCTGTCAACCAGACACAACCTAGAGACTCAAATAGTATTACTCAGGTCGAATAGCCTATGGCTAATACAATAAGGGACGGTCTGATCAGTGATTAATGTGGAAGGGACCAGCCCACAGTGGGCAGCACCATGCCTAAGCTGGTAAACCTGTACTGGATAAGAAAGCTAGCTGAGGCTAGGTATGAGTAATCTATACCTTTAATCCCAGCACTTGGGAGGCAGAGGCACACAGACCTCTGTGAGTTAGGGGCCAGTTACATCTACATAGCAAGTTCCAGGTTATTCAGAACTGCACAGTTAAGTCCTTCCTGCCCCCTTTAAAAAAAAAAAAAGCCAGCTGACCATTAGCAAATGAGTTCCATTCTTCCATGGATTCTGCTTCAAGTCTCTGTCCTGATTTCCAGTGACAGACTATATGACCTGAAAGTATGGGCCAAACCAACCCTTTCCTCAACAGGTAGCTCTCGGTCAGTATTTTATCACAGTAACAGAATGACTTTAGGACACGTTTTATAAGATTTCTTTCTGGGCTCCTTACTTCTTCCCAACTTCAAAGAATAGAGTCAATGTAGGCACATACGGGGCTGTAATCCAGCACCCAGGGAGCTGAGACAGGATTGCAAGTTCAAGACCAGTGTGAACTACATGGCAGATTCAGTTTTAAAAACAAAACTCAGGAGCAGGATTCCTGGCCTTTCGCCTGGATCAAGTCGTATTTCTGCATTTGCTGTCTCAGTGTTTCTCAATATGTATTTCTGAACCATTAACCACTGTCCTATTACCTTCTAGATACCCTAACCCTTCACCCTTTCAGCATCTGTATCCCAGGAATAAAGGTTCTCCTACAAAACCACATTGCTGTGGCTGCCTAAGAGAATAGTCAGGATCCCAGACAGAGGCCCTAGCAATTCCACTTCACAGTATATTCCTAAATATACCAAAAATATACCAATATACCAAAAAGAGCCCAAAGCCAGGACTAAAACAGGTATCCATGTATGTGTCGTTTCAACCCAAGATGGGAAAAAAATCTGTGTGCAATGGGATCTTACTTTTCCCTATCAAGGAATAAGGTTCTGAAACACACTATAATACAGATAGACATAGTTTGGAATGCCTGTAACTGCGAGGTCCAAGGGATCTGATGCCTACTCTGGCCTTCATGGATATCTCTACATACACACGGCATGCACCCATCATAAACAACTGCTCACATATGAAATTAAAAAAGAAAAGTTACACTCCTATCACCAGGTTTTTCCACAGGAGTATACTGATATTCGGACTGGGCAGGTCCTTACTGTGAAGACTATCCTGTAAGTTGACAGCAGCCCCTGAGGCCATTGTCAGTCGGAAACTGTCAAATGTCACCTGGGGCTACCAACACAGGCTTGCAATCCCAGGTTCAGTTTCCAGTATCACGAAAAAGCATATAGATTAAGAGGGGTTTTCGGGGGAGAGCAGAGAGGATTGAGTGCACACTGCTCTTAGAGGACTCAATTATAGCTCCTAGCACACACAGGGAGGCACATAACCAATAACCAGTTGTAGAGGATCTGACATCTCTACCCTCCATGGGCACCAACACTCATGTGTTCATACACACATGCTCACACACGTTACTTTTTTTTAAAGGGGGAAAAAAAAAAAAAAAAAAAAGCTGGGCGGTGGTGGCGCACGCCTTTAATCCCAGCACTTGGGAGGCAGAGGCAGGTGAATTTCTGAGTTCGAGGCCAGCCTGGTCTACCGAGTGAGTTCCAGGACAGCCAGGGCTATACAGAGAAACCCTGTCTCGAAAAACCAAAAAACAAAACAACAACAAAAACCCAAAACATATAATTTATGAAAGGCAGAATATTTGTCTAGCATGTGCAAGGCTCTAGGTTCAATCTGTACTACCATGGAACAGGGAGGGGGCAGTGGAAGGGAACTGTCAGGGGAGGAGGCCAGTCTTCCTTTGCACAGAACTGCTGCCTCCATTACTGTTGGGTCCCCTGTGTCCCAACGGCCTTGGTATTTATTGGTCCCACCACACACCACATGGATGGGGTTCTGAGCAGTGACCCCGTGGAAGCACTTCCTCCCCACGCAGGACCCCAGAGTACAGAGAAGACATTTCAGCTGGAAGCTCCTATCTTCAGGATCTAACGAGTTCACCTTGTCATTTCATCTAGAAATCCCAGCAGAGTCAAACCAAGTGGGCATCACCACAGTTTAACAAAACTCTTTAATAAAATTCATAAAAATGCATCTTAGAGAACAGTTTCAATTGTTTACCTTTTCCACTCCCCACAAAATACAAAATTATCAACACCCACACACATACACTCAAACTACATACAAAGGACACTCTATCAGCATTACACAATTAAAACTACAGAGAAATCAACGTTCTCACAGTTGATTGCGGTCATTGTATTCTTCCAAAATTGGGTGAGTGCAGTACTTTCAGTGAAATTCTTTCCAGTGGTTATTAGAAAGCTGAGATTTGCATTTTGAACGAAAAGAAAAGTCTCAAGGCCCTTGCCTCCTTTTTCTCATTAGAATGGTGTTTTCTTGCTTCCTGAGAAAATGCACAATTTGTAGTAGTCTTGTTTATCTTTTTTTTGGTTTTTCGAGACAGGGTTTCTCTGTGTAGCCCTGGCTGTCCTAGAATTCGCTTACTATAACAGGGTGGCCTCGAACTCAGAGAGATCCTCAAGATCTTCTGCCTCCAGAGTGCTGGGATTAAAGGTGTGCATCACCCACCCAACATATTCTGTTTTCTATTCATACTTAGAAGTCAGCCAGCATTTTCTGTAGCTACCATTGAAAACAGGTATTGGAGATGTATATTCCTGGGTTTCAGGAATACATGGACGAGGATTCCAGCTAGGAAATGCTGCTTGAGAGACCCCTACTGTTCCAGAAAATTTTATGGGCTAGAAGAGGCCTAGCACCAATGTAAATGTGCCAACTGCCCAGGTTCACTGACATGCTTGCTGTCTCCAAGTTTGGTTTCTCTCCTTTTCTCTCCTCCGTCTTTGGCGGTGGCACTTCCAGTCTCTCTCAGAGAACACCATTCTTTAGTGTTGGTTTGAAAGAAACCCAAGAAACCAAGTGGTGCCCGGAAACCTCCCTGCAGGTTCCGGTCACAGCACTGCTTAGAAAATCAAATCAATATATCCCACTATGGCATTCACCTAAGAAGCAGGTGTGCACCTAAGAATCTGAGGTGTGTGCAGCATGCAGAGCGGTCCCTTTTTTGTTGCTGTTGTTCTGCCCCAGACACACAGCCGAACAAGGACTGCCACTGCAAGTGAGTACTCTGGAGGTGGGGAGGGAACACCATGAAAGGTCCTGGAAACACACACTATCCAGCTCAGGTGCACCCACACCAAGATACCTGTCTCTCACCATGAAAGGGCCCAGGCAGTTCTGCATCCTAGAATAGCACACCTGGGCAGGGCAACAGAATTCAGGAACATGAGGGGCTATGAGAATACAGAACACAAGCATGGTAATTGAAGGAAGGTACACAATGTAAAAAATTAGCAAGGGGTGAAGGACATGGGGCTGTGTGCCTGCTTAAAAAAAAAAAAAAAGAAAAAGGCACAGTTCATATCCCAGCACTGTAAAAACAAAAAATAAGATGTCATCAATCAGTGAAAACCATCCTAACACAGACAGACTGGTAGGGAGCGTGGGATCACTATGTAATCTGCACACTTCTCAGATCAGCCTCTCTTCTACATACTCAGGGAAGGAGCTGAAAGACCACTGACACCATTGTTCAGCATCTCCACACGGGGTGCTCCAACGGCACCACACAGGGTGCTAGCCCCCTAGTCATCCTCGCCGCCGCCGTACATGTCAGCCAGCTTCTTGAATCGGTTGCCCCATTCGTTCAGATAATCGTAGTCCTGGTCCTGATCCGACTCCGAGGAGTTCAGTGAGCTCAGGGAGGCAGCTTCAGAACCGCTCCCCTCATAGTCAAACACCAGCAGAGAGTCGTAAGGGGGCGCCGTGGGGTCGCTGTCGGCCGCCTTCAGGTTCTAAAGGGAAGAGCACCACATTTATCACTGTGAATCGGAGGCAAGCGACACCCCAGAACATGAAAAAATAACCTGAGAGTAGTTAACCCCTTCAAGGTATACACACGCACACATACACATACACACACACATCAGCACAGAAGGACAAGCCAGGATAAGAGGACAGAGGCTAAGAGAGCAATGACAGTAGTTATACTAATACATATAGGTAACAGTTCAGATAATCCTCAAAGGATAGATGACACACCATTATTGTTAAATGTTAATTCTGAAGGGTAAAGTTGGGGGGATCAGGAATTCAAAGTCATCCTCTGCTATATGGTTCAAGGCCAGCCTGGTCTACATAGGGAGTACAGAGCCAGCCAGGGTTACAGTGTTTGAATTCTCGGTCCCCAGCTGGACCAATTTCGAAGGGTTGAGAGGTGTGTTACTGAGGATAGGCTTGAGGTTTTTTTCTGTTTTTCTTCAAGACAGGGTTTTCCTATGTAGCCCCTGACCTCAGACTCCTTCTGTAGATCAGGATGACCTCCAACTTACAGAGATCCGCCTGCTACTTACGACCTCCCAAGTGCAAGGATAAAAGGCGTGGCTAGGCTTGAGGTTTTAAAAGACCAGTCACTTCCACTTAGCTCACTGTCTCTCTGCCTCTGTGTGTCTCTCTCCACTTCCTGTGTGAGCTCCGAGCTCCTGCTGCAGCTGTGCGCGTCTACCTGCTGCAAGGCTCCCTGATCATCATGGACTCTAACCTTCTAGATCCCCAAATCAGACTCTTTCTTCTGTAAGTTGCCTTGGTCCTAATGACTTAGCACAGCCATAAAAACGTAACTAATACTGGGCAGTGGACTGCCACACCTTTAATCCCAGGACTTGGGAGGCAGTGACAGGTGGAGTTCTGAGACAAGCCAACCTGGTTTAAAAAGAGAGTTCAAGGATAGCCGGGGCTACATGGAGAAACTCGGTTTTTAAAAATCAAAAATAGAGGGGCTGGTGAGATGGCTCAGTGGTTAAGAGCACTGACTGCTCCTCCAGAGGTCATGAGTTCAAATCCCAGCAACCACATGGTGGCTCACAACCATCTGTAATGAGATCTGATGCCCTCTTGTGGGTGTCTGAAGACAGCTACAGAATACTTACATATAATAAATAAATAAAAAAAATTAAAAAAAAAAAAGAAAATAAACAGGCCACCATTCCTGTTCAGCATTTATGTTGGTCCTCGGGTGGCTGAGAAGTTGCTTTATCTACCTGCTGAGTGACCTCTGGCTCCCTATGACACTCCCCCAAACAGGTATAATGAATGCAGGGAACCTATACAAACTAAATTTGCTTTGTAACTCCTTCTAGGTCTACTAAATCTTTGCGAATAGCTTTTGCTTTAGTCTCGGGGATACAGACACTGTAAGGCAACAATTCAAAAGCTCTCCTCATTCGGAATGTTCTCCTCTTCGATTCCGAGTTAGGAGATGCACTGTGCCTTGGCTCACGGCCTTGCCCACTTACTTCATCGATGAAGTTCCCGATTTCATCAGGATTGGCAGGACGAGGACGGTACTGGGGCACACTCATGAGGGTGGGAGCCACATCATTTCGAGTCACTTCCGGACGGGCATCCAGGCCCCTGTGCAGCTGGCTCAAATCAAAGTCCTAGAGAAGAAGAGCAGAGCATGACAACACGTGAGAAAGAAACAGCTGCTCGCACAGGGCAGGGTTTGCTTCAGGGCATCGCAGACTATGCTGATGGACAAAGCCAAACGACCCCCATGTGCCCAAATTCATATGAAATGGCATTTTCCAAACTAAAAGTCTCCTAATGCAAACTGAAAGAAAAAGGAGCCCCTGGGGATCATATGAACTCAAGCTATTGCATCTTACTCATTTCATGGGACTTGATTATCGGGGTATATCTTGGCAAATGCTTAGTCCTCCCTACCACAACTGATGCAAGTAGTGTCCTGTCTGCTAATGACAGGCTCTGTCATGTGAGAGGCCTCAGGCAATAAGACAATAGTGAAGCATGCCTTCTGCAACCCACATGAGGCTCCCGTGCAGCAGACCTGAGCACAAGATGCAGCTTAGGGCCTTTCATCACAACTCTGCCTGATTAGCAGAGTCCTCACTGATTTACAGATGTTGTGAGCCTCAATGTAATCAACCAAGACTGCAGAAAACACAAGAGTGTCTGGAGAAGAAACTTGAATTCTTGTGACCATAGAGTTCTACAGCAGGGTGACGACCGACATAGCCGATCTGACACCCCTCAATCAGATGTAAAGTTCTCCATCTTTGAAACCCACCTGGTCTTCTTCTCCACCTCCTTCCTCATCATAGTAATACACATTGTCCCGGGTGTCATCATCTGGCGGCAGCAGGGGCTCTTTGACCACCGTTCTCCTCCGCAGAAACAGTAGGAGCAGCAGGATCAGAACTGGAGACAGAAGGGAGGAGGGGAAGAGTGAAGAGACACAGGCAAGAGAGACCAGAGGAAGCAACTGTCCTGGAAGGCCATAGCCTTCTACCACCAGGAGGACTAACTATCTCATGCCCAGCCAGATGAGACCATTTCTCAAAAAAAAAAAAAAAAATAATAATAATAATAATAATAATAAACAAGTTTGACATCTGGCTTCTGATACCACTTCTGCTTCAAATGTCTGATATGAGAATTTCCCCAGCTTTAGCCAAGTCTAATAATATCTACTACAAAAGAAAAAAAAAAAAAAAGTCAGGTATGTCCTCAATTAAAACAAACAAACAAAACCCCCAGACCTTTGATCATAAAAATCCTCAGGACACTGGCACCAAGCCCAGGATTCTCTACAGGTAAAATCAGACAAGAGGACAGAAATGACAGATTCCCTCAGCATCTCCACTCTCTCTCATCTTTTCAGCCATGGATACTATTGCTCACTCGACCCTCCATCTCCACTGTCTCCCAAGCATGTCATGGGCTCACAGTCATCCAGTTAAGAGCATGAGTTAAGGCTGCCATGTAGCTTGGCATGGCTGCATTTGGGCCAATGAGATGAGAGTGGTACTAGCATCCGCAACTTGCAGTTAGGCGGCCTCCACTTCCTCTTCCATGTGCTCTCCAAGATGGAATGTGAAGGTGACGTAGCTGCCGGCCTTGCCTGTGCTAAGGTGAACAGCGTGCCATACATAACCTTGCTGCCAGCTCAGCATCTCTTGGGGATTGGTTTAAAATGAAGCCTCGGAGGAGTCCCCCCAGGAATCCTGGGTCTGAAGTCCCACCTTACTGAGGGACACAGGTGACTTACATGCACTCAATCTCAGGGAGCACAAAGAGAACAGAAGGACCCTGTACCCCACTCCACCTTGTTACCAGTTTATTCTGTACTCCAACTAAAAGCTCCTCCTAGGAGATGGTCCTTCCCTGTTTTAGAGGTTGCAGGCTGAAGCACCTGCAACCTGAACTTACTCAGCAGGGCCAGGATCCCTCCAAGGATTCCGAGGATGGCAGGAACTTGCAATCCTGCTTCCACGTAACCAGCCTTCATGCAGTTGTTGACAGTCCCTTCACAGTCACACACATGGACATCCAGTGTGGTCACCTGGTCTTTGTTCTGTCTATCCGCGAGCTTGAGATTGATTTTGTATTCGCCAATCTCTAAGTCCTTTCTTGGTTGCAAAATGAGAGATGTTTGGTCTGCGGAAAGGAAAGCAAATGAACAATGAGACCCGGAGAGGGGACAGAACAAAAAACTCAGTACATCGAAATGTTGAGGGAATCAAAGACACCCAGGGCTGGAGGAAGGAACTGCCTGGGGCTCTTATTACTGAGAAGTAAGTATGTCTCAGAGGAAAAGGAACAGGCATGAAATGCAGAAGGAACCGGGGCAAATATCAAAGGGAAGTGTGAAGCGGGACTGGCAGAGCCTCTAAAAACAAGTCTTCACACCTTCGTCATCATACTCAATGGTCCAGTTGACGCTGGCCCCGTGGGTTAGCTCAGCAGTGAAGGGGTATGTGTTGGGAGGAAGGTCTGGATCCACGATGGTAATGATATGGGGCTGTGGGTTCCTCTGGCAGAACTGCATGTTTCGAGGTTCTGGGATGGGAGCGTTGTCGTTGACGTCTAACAGGACCAGGAGAAGAGTCCCTGTGCCAGTGGCAATGGGTGAACCTAAGAGAAAACAGAAAGGTGTCACAGCTTAAAGATAGTTCCAGCAGGCCGAATACTGACTTAGCTTGTCTGTGACCCCTCAGCAGTTCCCATGCTAAGCACAGATGCTCTGTCCTCGTCTAGGCTTTCCAACAAGCTACTGCAACGTCGTATACAATGTCTTAGACGGGTCTCACTGTCCCCTCTCTCTATCTCTCATTTCAAAGGCAGCTTTCTTCTTCTCTTCTTAGTACATTACTCATACATTTCAATTCGGGAGTTTATTGCTTTCTTGTTACTGAGACAAAGTCTTAGCATGTTGCCTTTGGAATTACAACCATCTCGCCTCAGCCTCCTACCAAAACCTGGCTCCAGCAGATCTCATTAGAAGGTACGGAGATGCAGAGCGTGGTCGAATTTGTTTGGACTCTTAGAACCACACAGGACGAAGGAAGGGTGGGTCACCTCAATTTTGGGTTACATGGTGAGTTCAAAACAAGCCTGGGTTATATAGGGAACCATGTATCAAAAACATTCATCTTGGGGTATCCATATGGGATATAAGTGGTAGGGAACACACACCTATGCTCAACACTATGGTCAGTTCTCATATCCATACAAAAAGGAAAGAAAGGGCTCAGTGACTAAGAATGATTACAGAAGACCTGGGTCAGTCTTCAGCACATTCATAGTAGTTTCTAACTCTCTGTAACTCCAGTTCCAGGAGAATATCCTCTGTGGACACCAAGAACACAGACATACATGCAGGCTAAAATACCCATATGCATTGTGGTAGTTTAGATAGGTCTGGCCCCCATAGACTTGTGTGTTTGAATGCTTGGCCTACAAAGAAGGGCACTATTAGGAGGTGTGGCCTTACTCAAGTAGGTGTGGTCTTGTTGGAGCAAGTGTGTCACTGTGGGGGTGAGCTTTGAGGTCTCCTATGCCTAAGCTCCACACAGTGTGGAATCAGAGTCTCTTCCTGGCTGTCCTTGGATCAAGATGTACAACTCTCAGCTCCTTCTCTAGCACCATGTCTGCCTGTATGCCTCTAGGCTTCCCGTCGTGATGATAACGGACTAAACCTCTGAAAGCTTTAGCCAGCCCCAAATAAATGTTTTCCTTTTTAAGAGTTGCCTTGGGGGCTGGAGAGATGGCTCGGTGGTTAAGAGCACTAACAGCTCTTCCAGAGGTTTTGAGTTCAATTCCCAGCAAACCACATGGTGGCTCACAACCATCTGTAATGGGATCTGATGCACTCCTCTGGTGTGCCTGAAGATAGCTACAGTGTACTCACATACATAAATAAGTAAATCTAAAAAAAAAAAAAAAAAAAAAAAGAGTTGCCTTGGTCATGGTATCTCTTCATAGAAATGAAACCCTAAGACACACATAAAACTCAAAAAAACAAAAAAAAAACCAAAAAAAACCTGACATTTATAAGAATTATGTAATAGTAAGTTCACAGCCATGGACCTGAGATACAAACCCAAGCCCCTGCAGGAAAACAGAGATTCAAGTGTGGAAAGGAACAAGAGGGAAGGAAAGTCTACTTGATCTAAAGTTTAGAATTCTGTTACCAAAACTTTTGTATGTCATAACTGTTTGTTTGTTTGTTTGTTTGTTGTGGATAAAAGAAAAGGAATGAAATCCCCTCCCCCCAGTAAGGCAGAGGCAGAGGGGGCAGGCAAGCTGGAGAGTGATGGAGACCAGACCACATTGCGGATCGGATCACACGGTGTCCATACCGTCATCTGTGGCAATGATGAGAGCCGTATATGTGCTATTCTTCACATGCTCCATGTCTTCTCTGTCCATCTCAGCCCGTGTGAAAATGGCACCGGTATCAGGGTTAATCTCCAGCCAGTTGGCAGTGTCCCTCCAAATCCGATACCTGAAGACACAAGCTCTGGGTTAGAGTACGAACAGCAACTACAAAGGAACCTAAGCTCCCAGGTCCTCTTCACTTCACTTGTTACACAGTTACCCCTCTAAATATATTGCATATATATACATATATAATACATATATATATATATATATATATATATATATATATATACACACACACACACATATATATATATACACACACACACACACACACACACACACATATACACACACACACACACCCATATGCCTGCGCCTGAGTGTATATATGTGTACCGCATGATGCTAGAGGTTAGAAGAGGTATGAGATTCCCAGGAACTAGAGTTACAGATAGTTATAAGCCTCCATGTTGGTGCTGAGAATTGAACCCCAGTCCTTTAGTATAAAATGTGGTCCATGGTCCATGGGGTGTGAGGTGTGTGTGGCTCAGTGGGTAAAGACACTTACTGACAAGCCTGACAACTTGAGTTTGATACCCAGGACCTAAGTAAGACCCATCGGCTGCCAGAGCGAATGGCAAATGTTCAGTGAAACTCCAGCCTCCTTGTCGTGGACACATATCTCAGAATGTATTATCATTACATGACAAATGGCTATATTTATATTTACATAAATAATATATAAATTACGTATTAAAAAAATTCAAAGTGGTCAGCAGTGGTGACACATGCCATCAGTCCCAGAACTAGGGAGGTAGAGGAAAAAGGATCTCTGAGTTTGAGGCCAACCTGGTCTACAAAGCAAGTTCCAGGACAGTGAAGACTACAGTGAGACCCTGTCTCAATAAAAAGTGTAAATACATACCAACACCCACTCAACAGTTCAAAATGTTCCTACTCACGTGATCTTCTGTTGCATGAACGTGTCCGGCTCTCGAGCGGTATAAGATGCGATTTCCTGACCCACACCAAGGTCTTCAGGCACTTGGACTCTCTTCTCCGCAGGTACAAAGATGGGGGCTTCATTCACGTCTAACACTTCCACAGTGACGGTGGCTGTGGAAGGGACAAGGGACCCCTCAAAGGGTTCCTCATTCTCCACTTTCACATACAGAATGTACTGCTGCTTGACCTCAAAATCCAAGCCCTAGAGAGCAGGAGAAAAACAAAGTTGACACTAAATACCACAGATCAGATGTATGGCTTGGTGACAGAACACCTGCCCAGCATGCTTAAGGTCCTGTGTTCAGCCACCACTGCCACAGAACAATATGAGCTTAAAAAAATGGTTGGTCCAAAAAAAAAAAATTTCAGCTTCAACCTTTGGGGATTTTTGTTGTTGTTGTTGTTGTTGTTCCTCTGAGAAAGGGTTTCTCTGTAGCCCTGGCTATCCTGGAATTCACACTGTAGACCAGGCTGGTGACCCCCAACCATAATATTATTTTCATTGCTACTTCATAACTGTAATTTGGCTACTGTTATGAATCATAAAATAAATATCTATGTTTCCTGGTTGTCTTAGCCCCCCACCCCAAAGGGGTCATATCCTAGCCCCCGGCTTTAGGCTAGGTCCTATTTTTCAAAGGAGTCATACTGATCTCACTTCTAACAAACCAGCAAAAACAGCCATGAGAGCTTCCACAAACCCCAGAAGGTTCAGTACCATCCTCAGACTCCCAACCTCTCCTCTGCCAGTGTTGATCCACTCATGAGAAGACATTATGGGACGAGATCCCCAGCTGGTGGCACGTCATTCACCAAGCATCATACAAACCTTGGCTGTTTTCAGAATGCCATCATTGGTCCCGGGGTCTGTGATGACAATGAACTGGTGATCAGGATCGTTGACTATGGTGTACACAGCATTCCACGCTGGAGTATTGGGGGCATCATCATCAGTCACTTTGAGTGTGACGATAGGGACACTGACCTCATTCTCAGGCACTTGACCCTCGTACTGAAGAGTAAAGGAAAAATCAGATGACTAGAGAGAAGATGACAATAAGCATGGGCCCAGGACTTGGGCTAAAGGAATGGGAGTCATTCTGAGCCCAACCCTGGAGAAGTAGGTGGGATGAGTGAGGTTAAGAGAAGCACATGAGTCCCCAGGGATGGAGGGAAGAGAACTGGGAATAGGCCTTCATTTCCCATCTAGCAGCTCCAAGCACCCTCTTCTATACGCACCTGAAGTAGCTTTCTGAGGCCCTGGCTACAAGAAGCTGGTTATTCCCATTGTCTGCTTACTGTCATCTTAGGACATGTGTACCATTTGCAACCAACCCCCATCTACTCTTTAGTCTGTATTAGTAAACATCAAATAAGATAAATCAGTTATCCCTGGGGCCTATTGTGATGGAAGAGGAAAAAAGTCAACACTGCTTTTTGAATCTGTACTATTTGGGCCTCTGTTCACTAACTAACCACTAAATCAACTTCTAACTCACTCAGTAAAATATGGTCTTTTAAGGCTAAAAAGCTGAGCATGGAATTATATAAGCCTGCCTGCCAATGTGGGCTATAAAAATTTAAGTTCTCTGTGTGTGTGTGTGTGTGTGTGTGTGTGTGTGTGTGCGCGCGCGCACGTTTGCGCGCGTGTTCCTTTATCTGCCTCTTAAAACCTTCTCTTTGAATGCATTTGATACCCATTCACTTGATATTCGGCATTCAGTAATTCTTACAAAGTTGGATGTGGCATCTTACAACTGTAACCCAGCATTTAGGAGGCGTATTGTTGAGTTGGAGGCCAGGATGGGTTGCAGAAATAAGACCTTGCTCAAATCATCCATCTTCCTAAAATTATATTTCCTATAAATTGTAAGTTGTACAGACTAGAAAACGTGTCTGCTTTGTGTTGACAGGTTTCCGGTAACACAGGGTGGAATATAAACTTAGAAAAGTGAAGAATAAGTGAGACCCACTAACACTATAAAGGTGCCGAAGTTAAGGACAGGATGGCATCAGGAGCTTTTGGCAACACACAATCCCGTGACAATGGCCCCAGGAAAAAGATAGAAGAAGGATTTAAAAGATAGTAGCTGCTCCAGCATGTTGGTTTTCTAAAGTTCACATTCACTAACCTAGGGAAGAGTTTTTTAAAGGGTTCACCTGGACACAGGCAAAACTTAGCTTGTGAGCGATGAAGAACTTTCTCATGGAACAAAGAAGCTGTAGAATTACCGTGGTTGGGTTGAAGATGGGAGCATTGTCATTAATATCCGTGACAGTGATCACAGCTTTGGCTGTTGTGCTTAAGCCTTCGCCTTGAAGGTCAGCAGCCTGAACCACCAGAGTGTATGTAGGATAACTCTGTAGACACCAAACACATGGAATCAGAACCCACTCCAACAGCCACCCCAAACCCAGCGCAGCTTACTACATATGGAAAGGTATCTGGCCATGAGCTTAACTGGTCAAGGCTGCCTGACCCCGGGCACACAGCTTCTATTTAGATATAAAGCCGAGCCACTTAACACTAACTGGCCACTAGGCTCAGCACAGGGTTACACCGCCCATGGGATTTAATATATGTTTGCCTTCAAACCCCTCTGCCATCCTCCTGAGCCCTGCCTGACCTCTCGGTCTAGCCCGGAGGTGACCACACTGATGACCCCGGTGTCCCTGTTGACAGTGAACATGTTTTTGTGAGGCAGCTCAGGATCTTGGCTGATGATAGTGTAGGCAATGGCAGCATTGTAGGTGTTGACATCATCGTCTGCATCAGTGGCTGAGACCTGCATCACGGAGGTTCCTGTCAAGGGAGAGGAGCCTTAAATGGGTTGCAATGGCTACCCTGGGATCTGATCCTGACTACTCAGAACAATCCTATTCTAGGAGATAAGCACACTTTAGTCAGTTTTCATTTCTAAAATTCTATCAAGCTATCAGTCATGGGGGCACCAAAGCAAACCAGCCATAATCAAGGAACTCAACTTTCTTTTTCGAGACAGGGTTTCTCTGTATAGCCCTGGCTGTCTTGGAACTCACTCTGTAGACCAGGCTGGCCTCGAACTCAGAAATTCGCCTGCCTCTGCCTCCCAAGTGCTGGGATTAAAGGCATACGTCACCACCACCTGGCAGGAACTCAACTTTCAATGCCTACAATTCAGGTGTGGTGTGAGGAGGAAAGGAAAATAAGTGTTGGCAATCAATTAAAATATCTCTACCAAGTCTTTCTTTCTCTTTTTATTTTATTTTATTTATTTTCTTCCTCCTCCTTCTTCTTCTATTGTTGTTGTTCTGTGTAGAGGGCACTTGCAGACGCCCTCAAAGGCCAGAAGAGGGTATTACATCCCCAAGAACTGGAGTTATATATATGTACCACCAAGCCCTAGGAAGATTACTCTTTTGTTTCTGCTTATATGTGTTTCTATAGGTAGAATGTTATATCTGCTCCCACATGCCTCGACCTCATCATTCATGGTGGCTTTCAAACAGCGTGTCTCAACTTCAGTGACACGACCTCAAGTTCTCATCCCATCCTTCAAGGTCTAAAGAAACCCAAATGTCTTTCTGGGTACTCAGTTCCTTGAGGCTAATTTACCTGGAAGAGCGCCTTCTGCAACAGATCCCTCAAAGACAGGCTTGATAAACTCTGGCTTGTTGTCATTCTGATCTGTTACTGTGATCACTATCTCCATGGGATCCTCTACTGCGTCCCCATTTGATGACACAGCATGAGAAAAGAGCTGCAAGAGAGTCAAGTGAGGGTTACTTGGAAGAATAGCCAGGGTAGGGAGTCTGAATAGAACAGCTCCATCTAGCCTCCACTCTTTCTACTACGATATCTTCATGTGATAATTTTCCACACTGTGTGTTGCTGCTTAATGACCTCGTGATGAATTAAGTCTCAAAGCCAGAGAATACAACCACCAGACAGACGGCCCATTTATCACATATACACTTACTTTAGTTGGGGTAATTTTCCCTCTGGCCATTCCAGTCTAATATTTCCTTGAGATTTTTCTATATTTGGCATCTACAGATTATCTCCCTTCCCCCTAAGTTCACATTGCAACCAAGTCCCAGAAGTGAGCTTTGCTCCCTATAGCTAGTATCAGAATATGTACCACCTAGGTAAGAAATTTCTCCCCAAGAACAAGTTGACATCTTTTTCTTTTTAAAAAAAGATTTAATTGGAGCTGGAGAGATGGCTCAGAGGTTAGTCATTAGCTGCTCTTGTACAGGTCCTTTGTTCAATTGCTAGTTAGCATCCATATGATAGCTCATAACCAACCATTTATAATGAGATCTGATAACCTCCACTGACGTGCAAGCATACATGCAGGCAGAACACCAATTTAAAAAAAAAAGATTTATTTACTTATGTGCACTGGTGTTTTGTCTGCATATATGTCTGTGTGAGAGTGTCAAATCCTTAGGAACTGGAGTTACAGACAGTTCTGAGCTACCATGTGTGCTGTGTGTACTAAAAATTGAACCAGGGTCCTTTGAAGGAGAGCCAGTGCTCTTAACTGCTAAGACATCTCTCTAGTCCCCAACCCTCTTCCCCTTTTAAATGTATGCTCCAAATATGTATTTGTACCACATGTGAGCTGCTACCCATGGAGGTCATGAGTCCCCTAAAATCTGAGTTACAGATGGTTATGAGCTACCATGTCAGTATGGTAAACTAAACCCAGGTCCTTTAAAGAACAACCAGTGTTCTTAACAACAAAGCCAAGTTAACAGCTTTCAATTTATGTGTATGTATGTTTGTATGTCAGAAGTCATCTAGGAAAGGCTAAAGCATGCAAGTGAGCTCTCTGGAGATGGCCCACCATTTTGCATAAGTGCGATGGGTAAGCTCTAAGAAAGCAGGATCATTAGACACATCATCCCAGGATTGATTCTTGCTACTGATATGCCTTTTCTGTCACTATTACATAGCCTGGGCATCAGCCTACTCTATTAGGCACATTTCCTGCAGAATCAATATGAAGATGTGCTTTCACATAGTAATGCTGTATAGAAGAATTGATGATTTCATAATTCCTGATAATGATTTTATAGAATTCCTAAATTGATACAAGTAATCTCAAGTCCTCTATAGAAGAAAAAGCTGCAAACAGAGCCCTGTAAACCTGTCAGGGGCAGCTCTGCTTATACACTGAAGGTCTAAAATCAGCAATAGGCCTAAGTCAGACTGCTAACACAAAGTCTTGGGTCTCTGTGGAAAAACACTGAGACAGACAGCTATAAGATATTGTAAGCAGGCAGCTTTGGTAGAAATTTACCAGCCTGGATAGGAACAAGTAGTCATATCTTATGGATAGTCATAGACCTTGGGTAGCCTTGGTGGATAGTACCAACTTAGATAAGGACAAGTGAATTCCCTGAACCTTCACCCAGCTGATGCTCTGGAAGATATCTGTACTCTCCCCTGAACACCTATGCTCCTGTGTCATCCCCTTCCCCACAGCCTGCCTTTTTGTGTATATAACCCCTGTGTGAAATAAGTAAAATTGGTGGTTTGATCAGGCTGTAGACAAGCCGCTCATTTTTTGCGTCTGTCTGTTTCCCCCCATCTTTCTTTCAGGTGAACTCCCAGGACCCCTGTTTAATGCCCTGCTGGCTAGGGCATAAACCTTCATGTGTTACAGGCTAATTGCACTAGGAAAAGAAAGCAGGCTTGGAACAAATTTACGACCAAGGAAAACATTTATTCTGGTTAGAAACAAGGCTGGTAACTTAAAGGTCATAAACTGGGAATGAACAATTTATTGCAGTTCCAAAGACAACAAATAAAATATTAACTAGTTTATCTATACAAAAATTTCAAAACTAATAAGACACAAGATTTATCTCTTGACAAAACCGTGCTACCTTGTAATTAAAAAATTATTTGCTTATACTGAACTTATGGATCTAGATAATGGATGTTTAGTCAGATACTATATTAATGGAAAGAAATGTAAACATTTCTGCTGCAACCTTATGACATGAACTATTGCCTTATAGAATGAACTATGAACTTATAGAATGTAAAAGTAAATTAGAAAATCATGTGATCAATTATCCTGCTATAACAGTTCTACCTGATAGTTGTATGCAGTAGTTCTCAGAGAATGTATGAATACTGAGAACAGAAATAAAGATTTGTTGGAGCTTCTTTTCTCTGTTTCATCCAGAGTGACTTTTATTCTGTGTGCCTGCCTGACTCTTTTCCTTTCTCTCTGGCTCACTAAGAGTTAATAGAACTCTCAGAGTCAAAGAGGAAACAGCCCAAGCAACTAACTTCTTTTCTTAATCCCCTGCTGCTACTAGCAGGAGTTAATTGCCAGAAATCAGCAGCTTTTAGCCACAGAATAGCAAGAGTGAGTTAAACTGCCAAATGCTATCAGCTTCAGGACTCCAGAACAGTAAGGAAGAGCTATAAGGCTATCATCAATCTTTAGCCTTTTTCCAAGGCTGTGTCCCACCTCAGTACCTGTGATGCCAGGCTGGTCCTGGGCATGTATCTATGTGTCTCTCTATCTCTCTGTCTGTCTGTGTCCTCCCCAACTCCGTGTGTGTGTGTGTGTGTGTGTGTGTGTGTGTGTGTACATGTTATCAATGGAGGTCATTAAGGTATCAGAGCACCTGGAGGTGGAGTTTCAGGTGGTAGTTAGCTACCTATGTGAATGCTAAGACTCATGTTCTCACCCACTGAGCCATTCCTTCCAGCCTACTTTGACAGCTTTTATCTAAGATCCTGTATGATGTGAGTAATCCCTACAACAACAACAACAACAACAACAACAACAACAACAACTAACCGTCCCAACTTGCTAAGATAAATTAAGCTACTTAAATGTCCAGGGCATCCAAAGTGGGGATAAAACACCAGCTGCCCCCAAAATTTGTCAATTGTTACCCAGTGGTCAACGAGTATCTAAGAAATACTCACGATGTACTTGGCAATGGCTTCTCTATCCAGAGGCTGTGTCACTTTCAGCCAGCCTGTCTCTCTCTCAATGATGAAAACACCAACGGGGGGTTTGTCAGCTCCTTGGCCGGTGATGCTGTAGAAAACCTTTGTTTCTTTGTCCCTGTTGGATTTGATCTAAACACAGAACAGAAGAGAATCAGAACTGGCAAGGAAAGATTTCAACGTGGGGTCTTTTTCATCTTCTCTTCTCTCAGGAGTGCCTCCTACCCACTTCCTCCCCTACCTGAACCAGGTTCTTAGGGAACTCGCCCTTCTCATTTTCGGGACAGCTGATGGGAGGGATGACCCAGTCTCGCTTCTGTCTTCTGAGACCCTGGTAAATGCTGGGAAACGTGACCACTTCTGGCTTGGATTCAGAGACAGGGTCCTAAGAGGAAAGAAGATTAACAAAATGAGATCATGCAGAGGACATGCAGGTCTAACAGGCCATCTTTCCCAAGGATGTTCTCCATCTTGAATTTACTGACTCATTCTCAATGACAAATTACATGTACCATCCAAAATGAATGGCTAAAGCACAAGCCAAAGAAATGAGAACGTTGTTGCCTGCACACTGACTGCCCACAATAGTCCCTACGCCTAAAAGCTTGGTTCCTAACTTAGTGGCTAATGAGAGGCCTTCAGATCACAGAAGATATGTCAGATCACAGAAGACTATTGAGACCCCAGTGTCATCTTTGCTTTCTGGATCACATAAGACAAGTGGTTGACTCTCCTTTGTGCTACCACTCTGATGTGCTACACCAGCTAAAGGACAGAATAAAATGTCATTTGGGCTTAAACCTCCAGAACAAAAAACTCTTTCTTTTTGTTAGCTTGTTTTGTTTCGGTTTTGTTTGTTGGTTGGTTGGTTTGAGATAGGGTTTCTTGGTGTAGCCCTCCTTTGCTGTCCTGGGACTTGTTCTGCACACCAGGCTAGTTTTGAACTCAGAGAAATCCACCTGCCTTCCAAATGCTGGACTTAAAGGCATGTGCCACCACCAACAGGCTGGTCTCATTAAATTCTTAATATTTAACATTCACATAATCACTGTGCATACATAATTTGTGGGTTTGGACATTTGACAATTGTATTTAAAAGTTATTTCAAACTTACATAGTACATGTCCTTCAAGCCCCATCACACTCTGAAAATGTCAGAAGTAACTCAGTAACTAGCTATTTGAGAGTTCTGGACTTCCTTTCTTTTGTTTTCCTAGGAATATAGTTCACCAAAGTGGATTTATCAATCAACGAGTTTGGGTAATTGCTACTAAGAACTATTTTGAGATCGATGCAAATGTGTTAATCTTATTGTGTTATATCTGTAAGGGTTGCATTTGTTCTAACAGAAGCTGCTGAGATAGGAACCAAAAATTACCTGGAGACTCACTGAACAGTTCCCATGTGCAATCAAGATAAGTTCATGCACACTCAGGGAAACAGGAGAGCCGAAAATGAAAGGCAATACACCTACTGAATTGTTTAAGTGTTTTAGAATGATTCATGATAACAAAGTTTCTAGACGATTTCGTCCTTACCCTTCACGGGAAGACACTCATCAACACAGACCACAGCCTGCCAAGTTCTAGCTAGGCCCTATTTCCTATCTGTTTGTTGTTTGGTTTGGACATTTTTAGAAACAATCTCATGAAATCCAGTGTGGCTTCAAATTCTGTGGCCATCGATGATCTTGAACTTCAGATTCTCCTGTTTCCACTTAACAAAGAGTGACGGTGCATTTCTGTGACAGTAGGGACTAGAGACCAGGGCCTCATCACTCTAGGTCAAGACTCCATCAACTGAGCTACATCTTCAGCCCTCCTAGATTGGTTTTCCTTGCCCTCAAGACTCAAAACAGGAAAGACAGACAGACATAGAATGTGGCCAAGTGTTCTAGAACCCAGCCTCACACAACTGCCACAGTCTTACTATCCCTGCATATGCTACCTACAGAAAAAAGTCAGCATGGGCCAAAGGCTCCTCTGTCTCTAAAGGATCGCGTAAGTTCTGTATGAACTGTCCTAATATCTAAAGTGGGGATTTGTTTTGTTTTGTTTTGTTTTGTTGAGACAGGGCCTCATGCAACCCAGGCTGGGGGGAAACTTACTGTGTAAACCAGCACTCGGGAAGCAGAGACAAGTGGATCTCTGAGTTCAGTGACAGCCTGGTCTAAAATGTGAGTTCCAGGCCAGCCAGGGCTATATATGAGAAACTCTGTCTTGAAAAACAAAAACTAATAAAACAAGCAGAAAAGGTGTACATCACCACACCTGGTTTGGGGATTTTTTTAAATGCAGACTTGAATCAAATTGCGATAGATTAGAAACGAAGACAGAATAAAATCAGCAGAGGGAAAGATGGGGGTGAGGGGACTGGGTGACAAACAAACTCCAAACTGCTCTTGGTCTTCGAAAGCTCCCACAGTCTAACAGCCTGCTGGGACTTATGTGCTGAACTTGCATGCATGACCGCCATCGAGCTGGGGCTTTAGTCTCAGGCAGCCACGACCAACGTAATTGAACTAAGTCCTTCACTTCTCAAATTCCAGAGAGGAAAACTATATCCAGGGATTATTAAATCTCATGAATCTCAAGAGTCTTCAGAGACGAGAGCAGAAATCAGCTGAAGGCTCTGGCACACCACGCCTCCGAAGGCAGGAAGCAAAGTGTGTCTAGAATGTACCCTAGAGAGATACACACGGTAGAAAGTGCCTGGAGACCATTCTCAAAATGGACGGAAGCATTTATTTGGCTTTTGGTGACAATCTCCAGGGACATTCCCGAGCAGGATCTAGATGACACATGATGCATGTGTCCGCCTCCTCACTGTACAGGTTTTCTGGACTGAGCAGGACTCAAGAGTAGGCACTGCAAGCATCAGGGCTTCGAAGGAGCTTACATAATGATGGTGCAGAAAAGATTTATTTAAAACAACTTGTTTATCATTTATGCGTATGTTCGCATGAACTTAGTGCACCGTGTGCATGTAAGCACCACAGAGGCCAGAAAAGGAGCCTGGAGTGCCTGGCTGTTTTAGGGTACTTGATGGAGGTTTTGAGAACCAAACCTATATCCTCTGCAACATCGGTAAACCTTATCAGTTTCTCCAGCTCTAAAAAGGGACAAAGACTTTCTACTGGTCTTCCTCTTCCTTGCTAAGTAAGACACTCTTCTGCCTCCAGGAAGGCAATGACAACAGTGAATATTTGATAAGAATCTCACCCACTCAGCCCTCCCTCCAGAGCTCAGCTTCACATCTGTGGTCAACCAAAACCAGAAATGCTTTCTTCAAAGCCAGAAAATTGCAGTACATCCCTGTAATCCCACACTTTGGAGGCAAAGGCAGGAGGATTGGGAGTTCAAGGTCATCCTGGGCTATATATCAAGTTTGGGGACAACCTTGGCTACACAAAAATCATCCTTTAAATAAAACAAAAAAAGAGGGGACAGAAAAGGATTCTACAAGTTTTTTTTTTAAGGTATCTAGAGTGGGGGATGTGGCTCAGTTGGCAGAAAACTAGTCTAGCATACATAAGCCCCTGTATTTCGTCTCTAGAACCCCGAAAAACCAGGTGTGATGGTACAAGCTTGCAGTCCTAACACTTGGGAGATATAAGATTAGAAGTTATCTTCCGCTATACAGTGAGCTTGGCACCATCATGGCTATAAGAAATCTTGTTCAAAAAAAAAAAAAACTAAATAAAAAAAGAGTGTAACAACAACTGTCATATTGAGTAATGGTTTGAGTATTATCTTATGTAGAGGTGCATTAACAGGAGGGCATGCTGCCTACACGCAAATATCCTCACCCCTTTATATAAGGGATGTGAACATTTAGATTTTGATATTCATAAAGGAACAGGAGGTGCCTTCTGAATACCAAGTGTATGCGTACGTTCTCAGTGTTTCCTATGTGTCAATTCACTCAGACTCCTCTGGGGTTACTGGGGTTGTCGTCAGAGAGAAAGCAATTGTGGGCTAATAATCCAGGCAAGGCCAGTGTCTTCCTCACTATCTTATACTACCAGAGCCATATAGCCCAACAGCAACCCCCAAACCCAACAGGAATGAATTCAGTCAGAAAGAAAGACTATCCATGATGGGGGGTATTTTTGCCACCCCACCCCAAGAGTCACGAGTTTCTGACAGGTGTTCCAGGAATCAGGGATGCCACATAGCATCCCAGAGTCTTCCTATAAAATTATCCTGCCCAACAAGTCCCCAGTGCCAAGACTAGAGGATCCAGATTGACAGCTCCCTGAAAAATATACACATATCCGAGAAATACCCCAACGTACTCGGTGGTGGTGCCGGTGGTGGTGGTGCCCCATGGACTTCAGCGTCACTTTGGTAGAAAGTTTCCTGTGACTGGAGTCCCAGGCATGGACAAGAAAACTTGTCTCCGGTTTATGAAGCTTTAAATGCCGCTTGACTGTGATGACACCATCTGTCGCCACTTTGAATCGGGAGTCTCCAGAAAAGAAAGCTGTCCTTGGTCGACCAGTGCATCCTTCAAATCTCACTACAGGATGGAAATCACAGAGATTAGAAAACTGGACAGATCACAGACAGGACATTTCTTCTCCAGAAACATCTTATAAAACATACCAGCTCAACAAACCATAAACTGGCTACGAACAACCCTATGCAGGTAGCCTTGGCCTCATCCTTAAAATCTTCCCATAGTCAATGAGACTAGTATCTTGTCTATAAAGTAATCTTTCATTTTCAGAATGAAAGCAAAAGAGAGATGGCTTAACATGAAAACAGACTGGGAGATGTCTCATCAGGTTGGAGTGCTTGCAGCACGGCCTGGTGATCCAAGTTCAGACCCCTGAATTCATGTAAAGAGCAGGGTGTGGTGATGTATCTCTGTAAGCCCAGGGCTCCTACAGCAAGATAGAAGGTTCACCCAGAAGTTCCTGTACACAGCCAAGTCTGCAGAGACAAGAGACCCCGTCTCAAAGCAAGATGGAAGAGAAGAACCGAATCCCAAAGTTGACCTCTGACCTCTATGTCCCTCCACAGCACATCTGACCTGCACTTACACAAACATCAGATCCACACACACACATCACACAAACCAAACAGGTATGGGGGTGAGGAACACTGGCTACTTTTCCAAAAGTAAGCCATTTCAGGCTGTAGGAAAACCTGTCTCAAAATCTCAAGGCAGTTAAATGGCTCCACAAGTAACCATCCTTACAGCCAACCCTGACAACATGAGTTCAACTGCTGGAACTCCACGGTGGAAGAACTCACTCACATGATAAGAGAACTAACTATATATGGGGAAGGGGTAGGGTTTCAAGACAAGGTTCTGTGTAGCCCTGGCTGACCTAGAACTCAGAGATCCTGCTGCCTCTGCCTCAAGTACTGGGATTAGAGAACTGCCTTGTGAGATGTTCTCAGACCTCCTCCTCGGGCATACCATAGGACACTGTGTGTGTGTGTGTGTGTGTGTGTGTGTGTGTGTGTGTACACAAAGAGAAATGTAATAGAAAAATCTAAAGGTACCTTTGAATGAATTCACAACAAATGTCAGAAGTCAACTTACTTTCCACACTTTCAAACAATTTCCCATCACTCCCCACAATGGAACTTCTACTTCGCCTAAGCATTCTCTTATGAAAAGTTCCTATCCCCCCACCTCTTTTTCAAAGCTAGGCAACTCTACATTCTGCTGGGGGGGGGGCTGTGCTACAGAGATCATTTCTTCCACCAGGGGGCGCTCTTGTAAACATCTCTGAAACCATGGGGTGATGGGGACAGACATGAATGCTGTTTCAGTGAGGGAGGGTGCAGGGACTACCAGTCTGACTGGCAAAATACACACTTTGGAGCAACAGGCAAATGAGAGATGACAGTCGCAGAAGAATCTGTCTAAACATGAACCAACTTTCCTTTCTTATGGGAGGAATGTGTGTGTAGAAGAGAGAGGCAGAGGCAGAGTCTGTCTGTGTGTGCCATCAACCTTGGTGTGGTTCTTCAGTGCTAGCCACCTTGTTTTGTAAAAGTCTCTCATTGGCCTGGAACTCAACAAGAAAGACAGGCCAGCTAGCTGGCAAGCACCAGGACTCCATCTGGTATCTCGGCCAGTGCATACTGAGATTACAAGTCCCCCGCCTTGATAGACTTTCTTCATGGGCACAGCAAGCACTTTACTGGCTGAGCCACCTCCCTAGTTCCCAGTTAGCACTTTAAAAATCCAGATTAGGAACATTTAAAGATGCTTTTAAAGAAATCCACCCCCAACCCGGAGCACAAGTAATGGGGCAGGGAGAGGGGGTCTGAGTCATATTTGGGGGCTTGTCACATAAGCAGGGGACAGGAGCTGGCCTTGATTCCTTTCTCCAGCCAGCACAAATCTAGGCAGTGAAAAATCAACAAGAGCATGACTGGACGTGCCGAGGGTGGCGGCGACAGAGGGTGAGCGGCTTGGTAAATAACTTGGTGCAGGGCAATTAAACCGGCTCAAGGCACTTCTCTTAATGGTGGCTGGCCTCACTCTTGGAGAAGTGACACCATGTAAGTCTGAGAGAGAGCCCCGACCTGAATTTCCAGGTGCTAGTTAAGGCTTTCTGTAAAACCGGATCCTCTGGGCTCAGAAAGAAGGCAAAGTTGGAGGGGCTCTCCAGCTCCAGGAAGGTTCTA